AGGGTTAGTGTTAGCAAGATCTCTCATGTTGAGTCCGTCAGCTTACCAATCCGTCCGCGAGAAGATGAATAGCCACTTAGGGGCCATCCATAAAGTACGTCACACGAATTTTAGGACTTTTGAACCCCTCCCCCCCTCCTTGTCACAGGTTGTCACATTTTTATAACCCCCCCTCCTGATGTGACGTCACACATTTTTTAAATTTATGTATGTATTTAAAAATAATCGAGAGAAAACAGCTATTTTCATTTTTTACTTATTTTTATTAAATAATAATCNAAACCCCCCCTCCTGATGTGACGTCACACATTTTTTAAATTTATGTATGTATTTAAAAATAATCGAGAGAAAACAGCTATTTTCATTTTTTACTTATTTTTATTAAATAATAATCTAATAAAATCAACATAAAGTCCAACATTTCATAAAACCGAAAAAACAATATAGATCAAGTTTGTAAATTTTTAAAATTTTTAATTCACATACAAACTTTGCCTTTTAGTATTTTAAATTTTAACATGTGACGTCACAAAAGTATTGACCCCCCCATGCCCCTTGTCACACGATGTCACACTTCGGTGATACCCTCCCTCCCTATTAACGTGTGACGTACTTTATGGATGGCCCCTTAGGCTGCCAGCGAATAGATACGGAAATAACTAAGGCTATGAGTAGAAGGGAGTGTAGTAAAAAGTTTGAGAACCATAGCTAGATTTGTGTACACGTATGTCGATTACGCAGGTATTTGAGGCTCAAAAATTTAAAGCACACATTCCCGCATGGGTCTAGTCAGAATTAATGAAACGGTTTAGTTATGCAAAAGGCGAAGAACGTTTAGAACAAAGGAGCTTTTTGTTTTCTCGAATGGAGCGAATTCAGCAGGGCGATAAAGGGTAAAGCGCTCGGAACAAAATCATTTGCCAAATGCGATCGATAAGTGAAAGATTTTGGTTTATGAGACATTTTTTAAACTTTACCGGAGTACCATTTTAAGCTTAAAATTTGGAAATAATATCTTGAAAAAAAACCTTCAGCTATATGATGTGGTTTACACCTAATAAAACACATAACTGAAGTTCGATGAAAAACATCGAATTGTTGATGCCAATACCAAATAAAATGGACCTTATAACGAATTAAAACTATCCTAGTTTAAGGTGTTATAGTTTTTTTAATGATGTCGACGTAAGGTATAGTTCGATGGTGCTATATCGACTGTAGTACTGTCTCCTTTCTCGAAGCTTCGTGATCCGACGGCGTCTTTGCCGCTCCCCCGCCCCTCCAAGACCTCCAAGGAGAACAAATGCTTGGCTCTGCCCCTGGCATTGCTGAAGTCCATGGGCGACGGTAACCGCTCACCATCAGATGGGCCGTATGCTCGTCTGCCTACAAGGGCAATAAAAAAGGGATGTGCGCGCTATACACTCCCCATTTTGATCAGGTGAGGACCTATCACCTGGTTTAATTATAAAGTTGAATTTTGCGTATTAAGCGAAACGTCGCTTAAGCCAAATAACCTTTCACCCCTCGCTATGATTTTATAATAAAACCAGCCGTACTCGTCCGCTTCGCTGGGCATTTAAAATTAACATTATTATTTATTGTCATTATTGTTAGGAAGTCCAACACTCATATAAATATTAGCCTATCCATTAAGTACATGTATTTTCTAAATGGATACCATGTTTCAAGTAAATCGGATGCATGGTCCGGTATTTGTAACGGAACATCCGTAAAAAACCACTGTAGATTTATATGTTAAGTATAGATTCAAGACAGACCATTGACATACACATAACGAATGAAGGGTGAAGCTGTGAATAGTGCACAATGCACTTGATACTTAGATCTCATGTGTCAAGGAGGGTAGCGGCATTAATATCTAAGAGCTCCGGTATCGACTGAACGTGAGTGAGGTCGTAGGTTCGTTGACCCGACTATGCCAAAAAATAATAATATTTTTGTAAAATTATCTCCGATCACGATAGACCGATTAACCTTCAAATCTAATTGACTTGTCCTGACCCTAAAAAATTGTTCGCTGTACGCGTTAGTCCTCTAGGGATTGACCTAGAGGTCAAAGTCACTTTTGATTAAACATAAAAATAATATTACCTTAGGTGTTATTATTTATAAATAGATTTATAAATTTTTCATATGAGAAGATATATTTGCTCTTATGGTTTTACAAACAAGTGCAGATGCGAGTGCAAGTTTTTCATTACTTTTATTTATTTATTTTTATTGCTTAGATGGGTAGACGAGCTCACAGCCCACCTCAGTGACTAGACCCAGTCGTCGTGGCCTAAAGGATAAGGCGTTCGGTGCATTCGTATCGAGCGATGCACCGGTGTTCGAATCCCGCTGGCGGGTACCAATTTTTCTAATGAAATACGTACTCAACAAATGTTCACAATTGACTTCCACGGTGAAGGAATAACATCGTGCAATAAAAATCAAACCCGCAAAATTATAATTTGCGTAATTACTGGTGGTAAGACCTCTTGTGAGTGCGCACGGGTAGGTACCACCGCCCCGCCTATTTCTGCCGTGAAGTGGTCGGTCCATCGCATGGGCAACCTTCTACGCGGTCTGGTGCCTTCTACTTTGCCCTGAACGACAAGGCGCTCGATGGAGGCATTTCCTCGCCGGGAGACATGTCCAAAAAATAATAGTATGCGGCCTTTCACGAGTGCTGAATGGCGCTGCTTAATGCCGAGTTCTTGAAGAATGGAAACATCGGTGCGAAGTTCGGTCCATGAAATACCAAACATTCGTTTTTAGCATCACATCTCTAGAGTATAGTTGACAACATGAGTTGCTCGCTCCGGACATTTCAATATTGCAATAAGTGTTACGTCATAACACATCTTGTAAAAATGAATATTTAAAAAAAACTTTATTAACAAAAAAATGACATGCCCGCTGAGTTTATTGCCAGTTCTTCTCAGGACGGAGGCTAGTTTTTGTGAAATGGCGGCAGTTCTTTTTGACATTCAACAAGTGTGTACTTACTTTCATTTATGTTGAATAAAATTTTTTTGATTTGATTTGATTTGCATAGACCTTCTTTTTCTCGACCTGTCGCAAAGTCCACGTCTGCGCAGCGTATAAAAAATGAGGATTTTTTTTTTTACCGCGACTAATTTAATTATCTAAGTGAAAATTCGTCGTAAATTATTCATATCCCTAACTGTGAAAGTTTGTGAATTAGTTAATAGGCGATTACGAAAAAAATATATGTGAATTTAGTATTGAAACCGCCTTTAAAAATATATAATTTTAGTACCATTTAGAAAGTTGGAACGATATAAGAGCACGAAGTTGTTATTGTTAGACTATCGCGATGTATGTGACATCAGTTCACACCACGTAAGGCACCGGTAACCTATAATACATGGTAGTCAAAAGGTTTATTTAATCTGTCTGTTTTCTTACTACCGTAAATATCTGTGATAAGTTACGAGTCCAAGCTAATCTGTACCAATTTTTTGGCTTGCGTTTGTATCGACTAGGTATTTGTAGCCCATTGAGTTTTCGCTGGATCTTCTCAGTGGATCGCGTTTCCGTTCCGGTGGTAGATTCTGCGAAGCACTGCTCTTGCTAGGGCCAGTGTTAGCAACACCTCCGGTTTGAGCCCCGAGAGCTCACCTATATGCTAAAGTAAAGCTGATATAGCCTCTCAAGGCTACCAGCATAGGTAGGAAAAATAATAATAGGTATTTTTGCAATTGTCTCTAGAATCTTGTGTCGCCGTCGGCGGGCGGCCTTTGAATTGTTTTCTTTGATAGTTTCGCATTGGCTATGTTCAGTTTTACACTGGAGTAACACTCTGAAATGAAACCAAAGTAAGTCCAATTCCGGCGACAAAATTTTCCGATGAGGGCTAAAAAAAGTCGTTACAATGAACGTATTATTTGTGTAGCTTAAAATAAATACCTATGCCCGTCCCTCCCTTGCTCCTTGTAGAACACACATTAAAACTCTCCTCAAATGTCCTGTTCATAAAACACACGCAAAGTCATTTTCTGTACTTTGGAATTCCCTCCCTCCAGGCATACGAGCGTGCAAAACCATAGCAGCCTTCAAAAAATCTGTTAAAGTACACTATTTATCATTAAATAAAAGTTTATATATTTGTATATGTATGTGTATGTATTATTATATGTAATGTTTACTGTATGCCACTAGGTTTGTGTTCCTAATTCTTCTTTCCTTCTGCATACCTACTGGAAGAGAATTCAACATGAAATAAGTAGTGCCCTTGTACTCTGCATCCTTATTGTCGTGTTTCTTCTAACAGCTGCGTGTACAAAATATATTAAATAAATAAATAAATCACTTGGTCGTTTAAAATAAGCATGTTACGTTTTCCCTTTACATAAAGGGACGCTGAAAGTTTCCAAGAAAATAGCGGGTGACGCGTGCAAAGGCTTTGATGTACCCAGTTTCTTGGTATCCGGCTCGGGAATATCCATATTTGTTTCGTTTTCCGAGAAACCCTTATGCTACATAGTTATTATGTGGACCTCTGTTAAAATTGTTACCCGATTGCTTCAAAAAGTCTCTTATAATTCTTTTTGAGTAGGTATATGTGTACCCATGTGTGTGTGTATCGATTTGACATGCTCAGCTCAGCAAATTGAAAGGCTTTTTCTATTTCAGGGGTGACTTTGATAAAATATTCCAGAGTCTTTGAATACAAAGGGTGGGTGGCGCATTTACGTTGTAGATGTCTATGGACTCCAGTAAATATTAGCCCGAACAAACAGACAGACAGACAGATAGACAGACAGACAAAATATATATATATATTTTGGTATACGTACTGGGGTATATACTGTGGTGGATACTTACGCATTTAGTAAAAAGTGGTTATTTTATTATTACAAACAGACACTCCAATTTTATTTATTTCTATAGACGAATTTACTCCGACTTAAAACTGAATCTTCCGTAAATTTGAAAGAAGTTAATTAAAATTTCCTTTTAATTTATAGATGTACGTCACATCGTGGACAATCCAGTTTTATTTGAAAAATATGAAGAATTCTCAGTGAGGCGCGCTCTGGCGGCCGATCCAGACACGCGATGGTGTCCAGCACCCGATTGCAGGTACGTGACGAAATAATATTTGTAAAAACTTGCCTGTTTTATAAGAGGTTCACGAATATACTATGTAACTATACTTGAGACCTAAGTTCTAAACTTGTATCTCAGGGTGGGTGGGTGGCGCATTTACGTTGTAGATGGCTGTCTATGGGCTTCAGTAACCACTTAACACCAGGTGGGCTGTGAGCTCGTCCACCTTTCTAAGCAATAAAAAAAAAAACGAGGAATCTACGAATTTAGGAAAAAATCCGCCTTTTGGAAAATACGCTACTTCTCCTTCTTTTTTGTTGTAGCTTAGCTGATAGCCTTTTTCCCCTACCTATGCTCAGCATAACCCTAACGTGTAGGTCAGTTCCCGGGGCCAAACCAGGAGGCGTTGCTAACACTGACCCTAGCAAGAACAGTGCTTTGCAGAATCTACCACCTGATCGGAAACGCGACCCACTGAGAAGATCCGGCGAGAAAGTCAATGGGCTGTGTCTATGAATATATCGGCGCAGTTTTCACATTAGCTGAACCGATACTATTTACTCCCATACCTACTGTATTTCCAGTCAACGCCTCAATATACATGAACCGAAATTTCAAGTGATGCTCTTGACACTTTGGCACTAAAATTTGGCATTCTGTAAAATCCAAAGCATTCCAGTAATTTAACTTTTGCTAATAACATCATTTGTTAATATGTACCATATGTAAAGGCTGCCATACCCTTCAGACCGAAACGCATTACTGCTTCACGGCAGAAATAGGTAGGACGTTGGTACCTACCCGCGCGGACTCACAAGAGGTCCTACCACCAGTAATTACGCAAATTATAACTATGTTATATATATATACTATGTTATTCCTTCACCGTGGAAGTCAATCGTAAACATTTGTTGAGTACGTATTTCATTAGAAAAATTGGTACCCGCCTGAGATTCGAATACCGGTGCATCGCTCATCACGTATGCACCGGACGTCTTATCACGGTCACGACGACTTCTTCAAGTAGCACCTAAATAACGTTTGCAATAAAAATGCGTAATTGTCTTTCAGTTTCGCTGTAGTGGCAACAGGTTGCGCTTCGTGTCCGAAGCTGACCTGCCTGGCGCCCGGCTGCGGGGCGTCCTTCTGTTACCACTGCAAGGCGGCGTGGCATCCTACCCAGACCTGCGACGCGGCTAGACGCAGTCGGCAGCCTCCCCCCAGAGCGCCGCCGCCGACACACCCCGATATTGACCAGGGTATGTTAGCTCATTAACGCTAATTATGTCAACACTTACTGGTACCTATTTCTACTATAGCGCCATTCTACCATAGTAGTGTAAGGTAGAGAGAGGAAGAGGTCGACCGAAGAAGACATGAATAGATCTTGTGAATGACAATATGAGAGAGAGAGGAGTGAGTGTTGAGATGACAGCTGATAGAAAAGAATGGAAGAGAAAAATTAGCTGTGCCGAACCCGCCAATAAGGTGGAGAAAAAGAAGAAGCGGGTAGATGACAGTATACAACAAGTATTACTCAAAATAAACCAAACAAAACAAACAAACAAAAATATAACTGTAGATTAAATTGGTAAGAAAAAGTCATGAAATCAAATGTGTCAAAACAAAAAGATGATCGTGCATTTTCAATGCCAAAGTTCAAAATGGGTCATTTGACCCGTTATGGTATGTTTAGTGTTAACAAACGTATAAACGACAGTCTGTTTTTTTTTTACAAAATTACCGATTGAAAAGCTGTAGTTACCGACATCTAATGTTTCAAAGTCACTGTAATTAAGTGGACGAAAACCAGTCTCCGAAAAGGCTCTCACGCAACTGGTATATAAAGTCGGAATAATGTAACGTAACAAATGATGTGTTATCGAAGCAAATGTTACTTAATTCCTGTGACCTTTGGGAATCGTTATCACTACCACTCTTACCTCCTTTAGTCGAATCTGAGGGTTGTCCTCCTCCTCCATCCGTGGCTTTCGTCCTCACGATGTTGCGCAATCTCGTCCTGTCTTCGACTACTCTGGGAGAATTCATAGACGTTGGAATCGAGGGTGGTACGGACTTGGCCAGATCAACGCTTTCGACTGCGCCCCCGCGATCTGTTTCCCTCCACTTTGCCGGTAAACTAAATATAGGCCCAAATTACTGTAAGATTCTGACTTGATACAATTGCAGGAGAAGTGAAGCCGTGTCCCCGTTGCTCGGTGCTGATCGTGAAGGTGGAGGACGGCTCGTGCAACCACATGGTCTGCTGCGTGTGCGGCGCCGAGTTCTGTTGGCTCTGCATGAAGGAGGTCTCGGACTTGCATTATCTCAGGTATGTAAGATACTAGAACTTTAGCGGACTTTAAGTCTTCAAGAGACTTACCGGTTGACGGAAGAGATAGGGATTAAAATGGGTAGGTAGTGTATGATCGTGGAACGGTGATGATGAAGTTAGATGTTTTTTCGGTTTACACAAGTGGCAGACATCATTGAAACTACTTTACTGTAAACAGAATTATAATCCTGCCCTTTTGTTGTTGTTATTATATTATTATAATATTACTAGCTGACCCGGCAGAATTCGTACTGCCTCAATCGATAAACAAAAGACCTAAACTTTTGTATAAAATAAATAAAAAAAAAAAACAAAAGGAATCCGTCCGACAGGAGACACATTAAAGGAAAAACAAAATTGTGTGTTTTTATATAATACCGAGCAATTTCATATTTATTCACCTTTTAAACCTTCTCTGGACTTCCACGAATAATTCAAGACCAAAATTAGCGAAATCAGTCCAGCCGTTCTCGAGTACTAGCGAGACTAACGAACAGCAATTCATTTTTATATATATATAGATTTGAGATGTTTCGAATTCTTTATACTTTTCGTGGGGTGGCATTCGTCGGTGAGTGATCATTTGAAATATCGGAAATAATTATATTGATGATAGAATGCGAGATTGAAGCGTAAAAGTAGATTTCATAACAGGAACATTGGACTATGAAGACGATTGGCAAAAGAAACCGGCCATTGACAACTGAAAAATATAAAGTGTTTTCTGCGTATATTATTTAGAATTTAGCAATACATTTTCACGTACTTAACACGTTGATTGCCGTACAGATCATCGGTGCCCTACGTGGCGTACTGAAGTAATTATGTCGATTTTTCTCCTCAATTTCCTTAAAGCACCGGAAAGTCTATTAGACTCTTTCTGAGAAAGACGAATCAGAAGATTATGAGAATGAATCTATTTCTAAGAGACCTAAAAGACATACACTAGAAACAAAAGAAGGTAAAGTTAGGCAATCTAGGTGCTTAGTAACAGAAATCGACATAATTAGTTTAGTACGCCACGTAGGGCACCGGTGACCTACGCGGCGGTCAATGTGTTAAAACCACGAACTTTTGATTTTGAATAATTTTTTTGTAACTCTATCATAAATGTTATTATTTAAGTCAGTCGATTAATGAAATCATTTTAAAAACGATTTCAGTCCGAGCGGCTGCACGTTTTGGGGCAAAAAACCGTGGTCCCGGAAGAAGAAGTTGCTGTGGCAGCTCGGGACGCTGGCGGGCGCGCCGCTCGGCATCGCGGTGGTCGCGGGCGTGGCGCTCCCCGCGCTGCTGGTGGGGCTCCCGCTGTGGGCCGGCCGCCGCGCGCACCGCCGCCTGCGCCGCGCCTCCGTCATCAAGAGGCGCGCCGCCGTCGCCGCCGCAGTCGCCGCCGCGGTCAGTGCCACTCGATGTACCCAGTCTAACTTTATTGTATAACTACTGTCCCCCCACCCTCCAAATACGGGAAGGAAGGACCACCCCTTCCTTTTAAAAGTATTATTGTTCTGGTAGGTACCACCACCCTGCCTATTTCAGCCGTGAAGCAGTAACGCGTTTCGGTTTGAAGGGCGGAGCAGCCGTTGTAACTATAAGTAGAGACCTTAGAACTTATATCTCAAGGTGGGTGGCGCATTTACTTTGTAGATGTCTATGGGTTCCAGTAACCGCTTAACACCAGGTGGGCTGTGAGCTCGTCCACCCATCTGGTACCTGATAGCGGGATTCGAACACCGACACGGTCGCGTCACTCGATACGAATGCGCCGACCATCTTATTAAGGCACAATTTCATAATTTTTGGGTTTTATCAACGACTAGCTGTACCCGTCCGCTTCGCTGGGCATTTAAAATTAACATAATTATTTCTCACCCCCACAACGATTCTCATCATTGACGCCCCCGCAACTCTTGTAGGCAGTCCAACGCTCATATAAATATTAGCCTATCCATTAAGTACATGTATTTTCTACATGGATACCAAGTTTCAAGTAAATCGGATGCATGGTTCAGTAGTTATAACGGAACATCTTTAAAAACCGCTGTAGATTTTTATATTAGTATAGATTGCATATTCACATTGCCTATCAGTTCCGGTAACCAATTATAACTAGGTTAACGCTATAAAAGTGTTAGAATCGGTCTAAGCAAGTCTGTTGTTGGTACAGCTCGTGGTATCTCCCCTGGTGGCGAGTCTGGCCGTGGGTATCGGAGTGCCGATCCTGTTGTTCTACGTGTACGGCGTGGTGCCGGTGTCGCTGTGCCGGGCGGGGGGATGCGCCGCGCCGCCGCCCCACGAGGACGACGCCGCCTCCAGGAGACTGGAGCCCAGCATTGGTAACTACATCACACGCGCTTACTCTGAAATGAACCCGCTTATTCAGTTACCGGTGACTTTTTAGCGGGAACGCGAGGAGTGAAGTTGTGTGATTTGTTTTATTTTGTCTATTTAGTGTTTCTTCGGGTTTAAATGTGTAATAACGGTGGTTTATTAACTGTTTAATATCTGTGAAAGTGCACAAATGTGGGAAAATGAAACAAAGCCGCCGGACGTAACTTCTCGGGATCCTCCAAAAAGTCCACTGAAAAAATCTTAGTAAATGATCACCATTTTACTGAGATTATATTTCATCGCATACCTATAATCTCATCTCATTTCATTTAATTTCATCCCAGTTGATTAATATCTCAAATTAATCATCTTCATTTCACTACACTGTATAATATCATTTTTCATAAAAATATGAATATAAATTAAAATAAGACATGACTTAAAGGTCTCAGTTACCAGGTTATAAAATCCCTTAATAAAACTGTATTCAGAATTTGTCGTTTAATTAGAGATCGGTGTTTTAAAATAAAAAATTAATACAAAAATAAAATGGGAAAAGAAAAATCAGGTCATAAAATCCCTAAAAAAAAACAGTTACCGGTGAGGAGTTGGTCGTGTGGTTGCGGAGGGTTACTAGTGTACGCGTGTTGCAGGCGATGCGTCCCTGTCGGCGGGGTCGGCGGGGGGTGCAGGGTGGGCGGGAGGCGCGGGGGCGGCGGGCCCGGGCGCGGCGTCACTCGCCGGCCTGGCGGGCTCGCTGCAGGACGCGTCGCCGGCTGCCGCCTCCTGGCCCGACGACCTGCCCTCCACCAGCGCTCTGCCCAATCGTAACTATACCCTTACTCACTTATTCTCAATAGTACTACGTATACTTTACTGGTGGTAGAACCTCTTGTGAGTCCGCACGGATAGGTACCACCACCCTGCCTATTTCTGCCGTAAAGCAGTAATGCGTTTCGGTTTGAAGGGTGGGGCAACCGTTGTAACTATACCTGAGACCTTAGAACGTATGTCTCAAGATGGGTGGTGCATTTACTGTGAGCTCGTCCACCCACCTAAGCAATAATAATTAAAAAAACTTCGGTTGTTTTATATTTTTATTGAATAAACTGGTGAACGTGTTTAGTAACAATTTACTGTTAAGAACTTACCGGTTACCTATAGACGCAAATGGCCCCACACACCTTGACACATAAAGTCTAATTTTAAGAAATTAGAAACGGCAAAATAGATAGAACAGCCATTTGGAATCAACTAAGCTAATTGTACCTATTCTAAGAAGTGTAAAATAAATTTAATAGACAAAATAACATTTAAATTAATTCGTTTCATAGCGACTTACAATCCAATAACAGATTTTACATTTAAATTTTATATTCAGCTACTTATTATTTACGTGATTATTTTTATTTCCAGCGACCCCTTCCAGTTCGAGTCGGTCGCGTCGGCTCCGCTCGTTGTTCCTGTACGGGTCCCCCACGCCTCCCGACCTCGAGGCGGGGCCGTCCGTCCCACCCCCGCCGCCCGCCCCCTCCCTCGCCGTGCACGTGACCACGACGTGCGAGACGCACTCCCCCACTCGTTCCTCGTAACGAAGACACCGCGCCCCCGCGGCCGGCGGCGAGGGCTGCGACATGGTCGTCTACGTTGCCGACGTAAATGTGGTCGTACAGCAGTCTCAGTTGCTGAGTGACGCCGAAACATGAGGCGATTGACTGTTCAGACGGAAATCATTACAAAATATTCGATTTTTAAATAGCAGTAGATCGACTCATCGAAATAAAATATATTTTTTAATTAAACAAACAAATATCCAAAACGCTTCCTTTGAGTCACGTTATTTTTGTAATGTACCATTTCCGTGAGTGCGATTTTGAAAACTTAACGTATTTGTCGACCTGTGTCGTCACACGACGGCGATTCATCCGAGACGTTTTAGATCACGTGAAGAAAACTTATTCTAGGGCTAAGTGACAACCTTATTGTGTCAACATTATCGGCGTCTTGAGTAGTGACGCGCGAGCGCAGGTCACCCGGTGACCCGTCCTCGGTGACCGGTCATCGTGTGACCGTGACAGACGGACGACTCGGCCTCCCTCGGCCGCTATAAACGTCCTCGACGATCCTTTAATAACTGACGTTCGAATAACAGTTTCTGTGCCAACCGTAAACACTTCTGTGATGGGAGCTTTGGTCCCGGAAGCACCAGCAGACGGCAGTCCTATATATGCATATGTACGATAGACGCTTCGCTTATGAGCAGTGTTACTCTATCAGATGTTTGTGATACTTTGAATAATAATTAGAATTTACTATTAACGATCTAAATTATTTAATTTTTTCACGTTTGTAGGCAGAAAGTATCTTAAGCGATGAGTTATGTTACGTCATATATAATTAAGTGTAAGCTATGATTAAAATGTGGTTAAACTTTATTGACTTGTTTTATTGTTTATTGGTAATGTTTTTATCAACAAATCAAACGAACGTTTTTTTTCTAAAATGAAAATCAAATGAATCTTATTCATTTTTGCTGCACATATTATTAGAGGATTATGTGAAAGACGATGTGTGTAAGAGGGGAGTGAGCGAAGAAATGGTATATGATAGAGGAAAGAGAATGGAAAGAGAAAAATGTTGCGGCAACCCCAGGTGTCTGGGGGAAGGGCAGGAGAATGATGATGTTATCAGGTTCATAAGTGGAAAAAAAAACAGTATTTTACCCTTAAACATTTTAATAAGTCATCAAATGCTACATTCACACCTACCTACATACGTTGGCAGTTGTAGGCACTTCCGAATTTTCAAAAATATAATTTCGAACCAACATCATTTTCAGACCTCACTTATAATTCATATTTTAAGACAAAACTGATTTATTTTTATAATGGCTACACTGACATCGAGATTTTTTTTTAAAACATGCAACACTAAGTTTTATATTGTGAGACGATTAATAAATATTTTTTTCTAATTTAATGTCAATGTATTTTAAATAGGAATGTTTATTCTGGCAACATTTAGCATACAAGTTTAGTTAACACAATCAATGGCTTTTCTACATAAATAAAATACAAAGAAATATTATATTACATAAGATAATTGCTGTATATATAATTGATGTTATCTTAGCGATCAATCATTTAGTTGTACCGAAGCTATATTTATTATTGTTAAATTTAACAAATCACAAATTATTTCGTCTTATACGCGCGTGGTTTTATGAAAAAAAATATAAATATAGTTAATTATCAATTTCCACTCACACTATTGACAACTGAATATAATTCTACTACTAAAAACAATTTTTTACCAAAGGAGACCCTAATAAGTTCTCCCATGGTAGTCTAATATGGTGCCAAATTAGAGTAGAAAAATCAGCGCTATTGGGTGAGCTTATGAGGTTAATAAGATAATTCGTAACCAGACTTTCGACGAAGGCATCAAAAAGACATTTTCTAAGTTGTGTATCAACAAATTATATAGGTACATTTTTTTAGCGAAACCCCATAATATTAAATAAAAGTTCCAGCTAAAAACGCGACATTCTCACACACTTTAAACTTATTAAAAATATAACTGTACAATAAAATTTAATAAAACTATTAATCTAATCTTTGTATAACGTAAAAATAAAACATGATTAGAAAAAAAAAAAATCAAAACATTATTTTTGCATAATTCATTTTAAAACGGTTATATCACAATATACTTGTAACTAATAGTTTATACATAATATATACAGCGATAGATAAAATGCATAATAGACTGTGGTTTGAGAGCTTCAATAAAATTACCTTACTGCTACCAGATATTTCATGTTCATTGAAAAAGCCACCTAAATGCTTTTAATATTTAAAAAAGAGAGCAACATAGATGTCATATACTATTAGCAAATGTAAACAGGCTAACAACGTTCTTTAAAGAGAGATCTAACTACTTTTATATTTATTTTATTTCATGGAGACACATTATCCGCTATGAAGATTTTTATTATACCTACTTTAACATTTAATTATTATCTGTATAATACACAATTTTATGAAGAAACGGTATGTTTACTATCAAACTACTGTAGATTAATTTAAATTGGAATAATTGTAATTACATAATTTTAACTATAAGAGGCATACCATCATTCGGGTCATGCATGTTTAGGTGTTGGCGTGATGAAATTTTCGACAATACTAGGCAATATTCATCCAAGACCGCCATTATAATAAATAAACTGCTAAATTCTATGAAACGTATTATAATAGTACCATAGACAAAAAGAGAAAATCTTAACTACATAACTGTCCTAAATGGGTACATACCTATATTTTTTTTACATTGAATTTTAATTATTTAAGAAGTTTTTTCTACCTCTTGTAACCTAAATATAATATGCAACATAATAATATTGAAATTTATATATTCACTAACTAATCTATCCGAATATTAGATTGTGGTAATGTTGGTATCATCCCAATCACGTGGGGTATGCGCCATTATGAAATTCGAATAAGTTGCTTTTAATAATTGAAAATCGTATTAATTTATTTATTTTGCATTCGCAAATACTTTATTAATTACTATAATCAATTGTATATATAGTACTCGTTACTACTTTTTTGATCTTCTAAATACAGTAATCCCCCTATAACACGGTACTCTTATAACGCATTTTCATATTACGCGATTTCAATCGGTAGACAGCGGCTTGGCTCTGCCCCTGACATTGCTCAATTCCATCGGCGACGATTACCACTCACCAACGGGTGGGCCGTATGATCGACTGTCTACAAGGGCAATAAAAAAGGTCCCTCGTATAACACAGGTATTCTCCCATATAACGCGGGGATTTCACACGTAACATTTCGGTACTGTGAAATTTAAAATGATTTGTGCATCTCATAATTAATTTCGCGTACTTTTGCATATTGTGTCAATTGTGTTATTATAAAATAAAATAAAACTAATTTATTCCATGTTCATAGTTTTTCAATCGTAAAATCATTGGTATTATGTATTATATTTGTAAATATATCAAATATTTGTACATATCGCGTTATATGGGGTCATACAAGCGCTTTATGCGAGAATACTCTTACAACGCGTCTCTTATAGGCGGAAACAATCTACCGCGTTATAGGGGCGATACTGTATTTTTTGATAAACAAAATTCGCACGATACTACTTTTTGATCCACCCGCTGTCTACATCGTTTCAAATATTTGATTTAATTTCAAACAACCTTATTTCCTTTTCATAATAAATAAACGAGACCATTCCCGAAACAAGGTCAAACGCAGCGTTTAAGAAACTTTGATGAGATCATATTTGCCAAAAAAAAGTGCCATCTCAATTTTTATTTTCTGATCATGTGTGCACAGTGAGAGTTTTTTAACGTTCTCGATAGCGTAAAAGTTAACTCAAAATTGTATGCAGTTGGAACAGCGCCCCTAGCGGCAAACGTAGGCAAACGTTCCGACTCCATATAAATTTGAGTTAACTTTTACTCTATCGAGAACGTTAAAAAACTTGCACTAAGCACACTGTTCGTCCAGCACGCAATGCACAAAAATCACTTGACAGCGTCCATGGACTCGTGCGACGCGCGAATGTTCGTGTCAACTTTCTGTAACATTACCGCATTCGCTTCGGGATAGATTCCCTTGGAACTTGTATAAAACATGCTTTTCTTTCTAATCGTCTCTCACTCACATTTCGCCTTCAAAATGCGGCCTAAATCGAAAATAAAATAGAATATATTAAAGTTCAATAAATGTTTATACAATTCTGGGCCAACAAGACATTCACTCTTCTTTTGTATTTACACCATTTTTAATTTAAAAACACTTGATTTAATTTTTCTACTTTTTTCACAACACCTATCTAACGCTATTTTTTTATTGTATTTTTAATAAATTCATATCAATCATCGACACCGCCCTACAAGATTTGACCGTGTGTAATAATTTTATCTTATCTCCTCTCGGGAGCTTAAAGCTTGCTAACAAACAGACGGAACTGGATTCAAGCTTTCCGTAAAACTAAAATATTATAACACTTATCGACATTTAAACTATGGATGACATTAATCAACATCTATGTATCTGGCAGACATAAAACACGAACTCTTACTACCAGATTCTTGTATTCCTGTTTCGTATTTTCTATTACAGAAAAAGCTTTTATTACAGAAAAAGTGTGTTCGATAACCACAAATATTTTTATATATTTTTTTTTATTTGTACAAATGCGCCATATCAGAAATACTAGCGACAAACTGGCTAAGAATATTTAAAAAAAATACAGTCCAATCTTCACAAACTGGTTCTATCTAATCTTTGTTGTCGCTATTAAACGGGCGAAGGTTGTTGTCAATAATTAGATAAGAGTTATTCATACAACACGAACTAATCAAGAATTACAACACTATTATATTCGGCCAGCTTATAACGTCTATCTGACTATAATTTGATTTTTGAAAAATCAACCTTAAATCAAGAGTAATAAAAACTAATCACAATAAACGAAAGATATAAATACAGATAGATTGACACATTTACACTTATCCCTATAACGAACAAATATGAGCTTTAAAACCTAAGGGATAAATACTAATACAGCTGAAAGTCGTATGTGGTGGAGCCGTCTCGCCAAGTCGGCTCGTCGGCCACTTTGGCGCGGCACAATGGGCAGGTATGCTCTCTGTCCAGCCAGGCCGATATGCAGAGCTCGCAGAAGATGTGGCTGCAGCCCAGCCGCACCGGGGTCGTGTAGTCGTCGTGGCATATCGGGCAGGAGTCGCCGGCCGACAGTAGCTGCTCGCAGGTCGGTTTGGTGCCTAAGTTCTGTGAAAGAACATATTGACCGGGTACAGATAATTAAATTTTTTTTTATTGCTAAGATCTGTGGACGATTTAATTACATGTTTCCCATGACTTAAAGGTATTAGTAACCAGGTCATAATATCCCTTAAAAAAATTTATTACATGTTTCCAAATGGCTGCTCCCTCTATTTTGCAGTTTTCCATTTCTTAAAATTAGACTTTATGTGTCAAGGTGTGTGGCGCCATTTGCGTCTATAGGTAACTGGTAACTTCTTAAGTACGTGAACACTTTCACCCGTTTATACAATAAAAATATAAACAACCGAAACAAGTATACCAGCAACAGCATACAAGTTTTTTTTTATTATTGCTTAGGTGGGTGGACGTGCTCACAGCCCAGCTGATTTTAAGTGGTCACCGGAGTCCATAGACATTTACAACGTAAATGCCGCCACACACCTTGAGATATAAGTTCTAAGATCTCAGTATAGTACAACGGCTGCCCCACCCTTCAAACCTGCTTCACGTCAGAAATAAGCAGGGTGGTGGTACCTGCCCGTGCGGACTCACAAGAAGTCTTACCACCAGTAAAAAATATGTAGTCAAATAGTCTTCAGTGCTTAAAGTTTCAATATAAAGAAATTTAATCATACTTTAGCTGTCTAAATTAGTAATATTATTGTAATTTTCCTAAATATTTGAATCAGGTTCTAATGTTCTATTTATCAGTCTTCACTATGGAGATGCAAAATGACCTTGGTAAAATAGACGGTAGGACATATGACGCCTCATAGTTACAAGTACCACCATTATGGCCGTTTCTGCTGTGAAGCAGTCCTTCATCCCACTTTGAAGAGCCTCGTTTCAATTATAAACTAAAACTGATTTTTGAACTCATGTTTTAACGTAGATGGTGACAATGACAAAATTTTATATTATTATTATTATGATATTATAATGTTATGTGTATACATATATATGTATACTATGTATGAGTTTGTATATGTATGCAATATTTTATTATTACTATTTTTTATTCTCTTATTCTAGTTGCCTTCAATACTACACTTCAACACAAAGTCCGTAACTGTACTTTTGTCGATAAAATTATTTATATAAATTCATTCTATAATGTCTATGGGCGCCAGTGATCAGGTATAGTATGAGGTCGTTACGCAATCTCCTAGCGAAGTAAAAAAAAATTATACAACTTTAAATACTAACCACACTCTGCAGCAGAGTCCAAGTAGCATTTTTAAAGAGCCTCAGCTTTGTCAGTATTTCTACCACCTTGGCGATAACGTAGACCGAAGTAAGGAACATTCCAACCATCTTTTCGGAGCCTTCGTATGATTGCATCAAGTAGAACACCCAGGGTTGTATCGTAAGGAAGCAACGGTACAGTTGGGAGACAGCTTCAGTGAAAAGATATACTTTACCCTGGAAATATTATAATTTAATTCTCATCTCGATTTCATGGATAACTTTATGGATAATTTGAAACAATTAAATTAACTTACCCTTTTCTGGAATGGCAGTAAGCAAGCTGGCATCATCGTCACAACAATCTTCACATCCACAGTTATGATCTTAACTATCAGATCGGTCAGTACAACCAACCATATTAGTTCCCACACCCCAAGCTCTGTGTACTGAGGGAACATAATAACATTCTGTAAGAGCTTCCCGTGACCGAATAACAGATACACAATGGCTATGAGACATAATGTGAACATCAACTCTCCAAACAGAGCCAAGATGCTTCGGTTCATTTGCTTAGCATGCTCTCTGGAAAAGAAATAGGATTCAGTAGACAATATGTTATTAACAAGTAATTATTAACAATTTGGTTTCTAGGACTGTTATTGAACAGTAAAAATTCACAAAATTAATGTTCTATTTCAAAATTCTAATGTTCTATGTAATATCAGATTTTCAGAGACTGCGTCGACACATGAATCATGTTTGTATGTCTTTATTTGAGTTAGATATGTGTCTAATTGCTATGCACTGATGACCTATCTTGTGAAATTCTTTTAAAATTTAGTTGTGCAATGTTTGATTCAAACATTGGTGCACTGTGTTTTGCTGATTTTGTTATTGCATAACAATGCATATTGTAGTCTGAGGATAGTCTAGTATGAGCTCAAGGAGCTCTAGTTGTAGCTCATATGTTCCTGATTTTTGTTATGCAATTATCATGCAAAATCCTTCATACGCAGTTCTCTTGGCCAACTTTTATAATATCTTGAACTATTATTATCACCCTTCATTATAATATATCAATTAAAGAAAATTAACAACTTAGACATGTATAAAGTTAATGTATTCAATATATTTAAATTTTGAAAACATTTGTGAAGCTTATATCCAATAATTCAAAGAAGTTAAAGGGGAAGATAATAAAGTGGTAGCAATATATCAAATGGTAGTTAAAAATTATATAAAATCATAACTTACCGCCTTACTAGACAGTTGCTGTGTACGAAAGTGCAAAATAGTATTGTGAATGTGAATATGCCCTCTCTACTTTCATACATAAACTTCATTAATAGAATTAAGTAGAATGGTGCATAGCGTATTAACAGATTCAGTGTGCCACGTACATCGACAATCTGAAATAATTAATTTGAAAACTATTATTTTCGTAAAGTTTCAATTAAATATGATGATATGATGACCATGATTATGATGTTGCTTTTTAAATAAAATAATTTCTTCTGAATATAGTACCTGTGGATTTCCATCTTCACTCTGACTGTCATTGTCTGTATTATCGTGAATATTATTATTATTGGCAGGATTTACTGACACATTAATCTCTGCATTTTCTGGTGCTTGCTCTGACAAGTTGGAATCATTTGATGCACTTGCACTCAATGCGTGACTTGTTGATTGTGATCTCTGTGCTGGAGAAGTTCCTCTGTCAGTCACAATAAAGGTCTGAGCACTTGGTCCAAGATTCACGTGTGCTATGGAACTTTGAGGCCTACGCAGTCCAACTTCTATTATCTGGTGGGTACCTGGTGGATTTCTTGGTAGCCATGTTGGTAATGATAATCTGGCATTATTTCCCTGAAAATATTTAGGAAATATGTTTTTCTCAGGTCATATCAAGTTATTGAACAATCATTTATTATATGGCAGACTGAGTGGTAATTTCACATTAATTCACACAATACCAGAAGAAAATGAGCATTTGAGTGAACTAATGACATAAAATGTACTCAAAGTCTTCCATAATCATTACAATGTTCATTTAGACAGTTTTACTGTTAATTAATTCACCCTTTATATACTTTTGCACCTTCCTGCCCATTCTAGAAGTAAAGAAAGAATAATTCTGTTCTGTAAATGTGTTCTGTTTGAATGATATATTATAATCCTTTGCAGCTGAAATAGGCAGGATGTTGGTATCACCTACAAGCTCATAATACAAACACTCTCACTATTTGTGACACATTTAAAAAAAACTATTTCAATTGTCAGCTTTATTGAATATTTAAAATTGTTAGGTTATTAAATTTTAAAATGGATGATATATGAATTTTTGGTATATCATCACTTGAATGCTAATTGACAATTGACAGTCGAGTCTATGATATAGAACATTTAAAAAAAAAACATTTTATTGAAATTCTGAGACACAAACATAGTCTGAAGGTAGGTCACATCTCGTTCATTATGCCTACATAATCACTTTACAACAACAGGGCTTTGAATTCCTTTTCTCCCATTTAGATGTATTTTCAATAGCCCTAACCTTACCAGTTTTCAATGTAATTACATTAAAATGAATTGGAGACAATAATTCTCAATATCTTAATTTTAATTTACTGGTTTGTAATTATCTGGTAGACAAGTCAGAACATGCAATGAAGTCATCTAAGACCTGAATTTCTGATTTTATTTATGATAGTTTATCTTAAAAAAACAAAGTTAGGAGCATTCTAGAGGTTTTAGATCTCTCCATCATTTAGCAATTATTAGCAGGTACATAACTATTAAGTAATGTTTTAAACTTAGAAAATATTAATTAGTTTAGATTCCAATTAGTGATAGTGATACTAGTAAGAATTCAGTAAATACCAAAACCAAACAAAAATAATAATAAAACAAATCTATATGCACAGAGGTAATATAACTTTAGTTTTATTTTCATTGTGTATGTACTTAAAATTATCAACCCAATAAAAATAGAATAGCTTGAACGTGTCTATTTCAAAAAAAAAGTTAAGTTATCGTCGTTCACGAATCTTAACGAAAATAGAAATATTACTAGCATTTTTTTCTTAGTAGAATTAATTAAATCATTTAAATCACCCACCTCTCACCTTACATAACGAAATTAGCTCAGTGAAAATTAAAATATTTTAGTTTAACTGCAATGTTTAAGAGTCACACTGCGCAGTACCAAAACTGCATAAAAATCAAAATTTCGATATCAATGCACATTTACATTATAACGAAAATTAATGAAGAAATAATGCTTTACCATTCTAGCATTTTCAACCAGCGGTCGTATCTCTCTGAATACACTATTGAGTCGATCACCAAGCCCTATATTATTTCTATTAGGAATCGAAGGTCTAGAATCCAGTCTGTGCAACACATTGGTTCTTGGTGTCACCTCATCGCTTTCTTCTTCCTCGATATCGACGTTAACTTGATTTTGTTGGGTCATGGTTACTTTACTATTATAACTGGAGTGCAAAATCACTGTGCAATCAAATTTAACATTTCCAATATTCCAAAATATTTATTAAAAAACCGAGCCCGAAGGTCAATTTCTGACAACTGTGACATTTGAAATGTGTTACCAACTAATAAGCGAAGCAATATAATAATAAAGTTGCCTGCCAGCCATAACCTAATTGCTACCGATAGACGATTCCCATAGAAAACTTATTAGAAAAACTTTAATGGTCCCAAAAATCCACAAAAACAGCCTTTTTCAGTTTGATGAAGTGCGTGTCATAAAGTAGATATTCAGTTTACGAGTCGGACCGCTGACAAACGTGGAATCTGGGCTTTTCATTCAAAGTTATTTCATGAAATTCATAATAAATTACGGATAGTTTGAAACAGTTATGTCAACAGAGACTGGTGCCCTCTGTGGTTTGTTGTGTACTGTTTGCAATAGTTTGCACGAATCTTAGGGTCTATCAGAGATTATAGATATCTTAACAAGAATCTCACAATTCACCTTGATACTTGAGCTCTGTCTCAATTGTATATTAATTGGGTAAATTAAAAAAATATGGGTTTGATATTTATTATACGATGTTATTTCTTCATCGTGGAAGTAATTCGAAGTCATTGGAAAATTATGTAACTCATTAGAAATGTTGGTACCTGCCTAGGGCATTAAACATTTGCATAGTTGCATCGCTTGATACAATAATACTAGGCCTTTAATCGTTCATGCGACGACCACTTCAAAATCGTTGTTGGCAATATTCTATTACTAGACACTGGGATGTATCAATAAGTTAAAGCAGTAAGCTGCTTTTACTTATTTACAAAAAATTAACGAGGATTGAATAATAAGTGCCTAAATACATTTCACAACAAAGTCATACAAGAAAAAAATAAAACAAGTTTATATTCCTACATAATAATTATACGCTTTATTTCTATGTTTATAGGTCAATAGACTCGAATGAATTTCTATAATCTAAATTTCATTTTTATAATGAGCAATTAAATCTACAAAATAACGACGTAATGCTGTAAGTAAATTCAGTCTTCAATTAATAGGCTTCACAATGGGCTTTCGATAACACCTAACCGTAATCCTCAAACATTATAACTTATACGAATAAATTCACACATGATTAAGTATATTGCAATAATTTGTGCTTAATAACGTAGAAATATAATTAACAACACTTATGTACTGGCTTCACCGGCTTTGAACTGAATAAAAAATTTAGCATGTTAGTGACACGTCTATTCATCACAATATATTCTCAGGTGTCAGAGACCGGTTTGAGGGCGAGTATTCCCTGCGCGTGGAGGTCGCGCACGGCTTCTAGTAAACGTCTCTCTGCCCGAGGATCACCCAAGGCCACGTCAACACTTCCAGCACACAGGAGAAGCGCGCGGAGTGCCGCTCTAGGCCAATCAGGTTTTAAGCCACGTCTAACAATGGAACCCGATTCTGACGCATTTAATCGAGCACATTCTGCTTCTAATCGCTCGCCGTAGTCTTCTATTAAAGAATCGCCAATACTTCTTCTCATTTCTGGCGTTAAAGAAGATAGTAATAATAAAGCTACGTCGTCCATTGGCTTTCCTAATGATACCATTTGCCAATCAAGAGCTATACATTCACTAACTCCATTAATTTCGCGGAATAGAAGATTTCCACTCCAAAAGTCAGCGTGGGCAAGAGGTGCAGGTTCGTCAGGCCTTAGTAGGGTTCCTAGTAGAGAAGGCGCTCGAGCACTTAATTCTGATACAGCAGCTGCTTCTTCGATGCAGTCGGATCGCCCTCGCAAAAACGCCTCAAGTTGCGGCAAGCCTCTTCTGACAAGTCGCAGATATCCTGCCGCCGCTCTTTCGCAGGGGAACAAAAAATCAAATCTTTGATCTAATGGCCCTTCCCTTTCGCGTAAAGCCAAGGATAAGGCATGAAATCTCGCAGCGGCGTATAGAGCTGCCTTAGCTCGCTCTTCAGTTAGGCCTTCCGCAAAATCTGCAGCTTCATATCCGACTGCTGTTACATCTTCTAAAACGAGTTCGCTATCACCGCCAATTTCATCTGAAAAACGACCTGTATTTTAGCGATCGGTTTTTTCTTTTATTTGTAAGCAATGAATCGGTTGTACGGGAATGAACACTTAATTTAAAATCCGCAAATGTGTATGTAGGGTTCACGAATATATTGAATAAGAGAGGGGAACACAGCATCTGACAGCTTTAAATAAATATGAATATAAAATTTCAATAGGTTAGCTAGGCTTTGGCTAAGCAAATTGAAATCGTTTTTATGTTAATTTAATAAGTGAGATAATATACTGAAAAATTTCTACTCAAGTTTGCGCTTGGGTAAGTCTGTCTCGTTACATTCTATACCGTAAATACTAGTTTTTTAACCGTTATTAAAACCAAAATACAGTGTAGAAATGTCAGTGTCTCTCTTACACAAAATATTAATTTATCTGAAAATAGGTCATAATATTAACCTTTTAAAATTAAAATAAAACCATTATGAAATATCTGTCGCACAATACATCTTTAAATTCAACTAAAGCGCAAGTAACGTTATATCGATATTCATTTGAGATAAAATACCGTATGCACCCAATTAAAAAAATATTATCTAGTTACTTTCTAATTTATGTGAAATTTAAGATGCTAAAAAAACGAAACTACACTACCTGTAGGTATATGTATATTGGGACGTCACTAACCTTGACGAAGACAAAAATAAAGTCAAGTGTCGAGGAGAATTACATTTATTATCCGGAATGTATGCATTGGTAACTAATGCAACTGTCCATTCCTCTTAATTTAAATATTATTACATTGAGAACTCCACAATCTGAGATTGACAAAATTGTGTTCTATAAAGAATCAAAAGCCAAAAAACTCTAAACTGAAGAATATTTTAGAGTAATTCGATTAAGGCTTACTTTCTAAGAGAACTGAAATTTAATTTACATATTATTAGCTGAGCTCTGTATGGTCCCTTTCTTTTTATTCTTTATATTGCCCTTGTAGGCAGACGAGCATACGGCCCACCTGATCGTGAGTGGTTACCGTCGCCCATGGACTTCAGCAATTCCAAGGACAGAGCCAAGCCGCTGCTTACCGTTCCAAAAATGTAGGTATGCTGTTAATGCATTGAAGAAGGATAAACTAGCAAACAAAGTGGATTTGTAATGTTATAACTATTATCATAATTAATTTGTGTTTTGATGCATAAAAGCTCATTGTGTCACATTATGCTCATTGTAAATGAGATCTTTGTTACCATTATCGCACAATATTAATTTAATAAAAAAAATCATAACCGTTGGTGATTTACGGCATTGGAGAAATATATATATATACATATATAGTTAAATTTATAAAATATCCATGTGTTCAGATTTGAAAGATCGTGATTTACAAATACTCCGATCTCCTCAGTTCTCGTGCTTTATGGTGATCAATGGTAAGTACCACTCCATGATAACATACCAGGCAGCTTGGCTTTGATGTATTTGGGTACAGGGAGTCCAGTTCCGGGGCCTAAAGCGTTTTCAGCCAACTTGTTCAAAGCCGGCGCTAGTTCTGTGTAGAAAAGGATTTCTCTCGTGTCGAATTGGGCTTCAGCCACGAACAGTCTTCCGAACGGATCCCGTGGGGGTAGTTTGACGACTACGGGCAGGGATTTTTGTTCACCACTGCACTCATAGCGTACTGTGACAGCCAGGACCCTGCTCAGGGCTCCAGTTACTCCAGCTCTGGATTCGACGCGCACCTGAAGAATAAAATCACGGTTGACCTTGTGATTTGCTTTTGTGAAAGACTAAAGATGAAAACCAAAATGAAGATAATTAAACTGCAAGTTTTAACTATACGGCTGGTTGATTATGTTGCAGGCATAAACATTCAATGTACCTACTTATGAAGTTATTTTGCGTTAAATCTCTTTTGCTAGTGGACACTAAAGGGTTTGTTTGCATCAGTCCATCTGTGTTTGTAATACCAATAAAATAAAACTTTTAGTGTTAAAGTCACATAAACATGTTATCGTGTTTCTTTGATTTAAATGTAGGCGAGGAAGAGACGACGTGGAGTTAGGGGCAGTCCTAATAATAATAAGCTTTGTGTTGTTACAATGTTTGCTTTTGTTTGTTATTCCAATTTTTTATTATTGAATTTATGGGTGAACGAGCTCACAGCCCACTTGGTGTTAAGTGGTCTGTGGAGCCCATAGACATCTACAACGTAAATGCGCCACCCACCTTGAGATATAATTAAGTTCTAAGGTCTCAGTATAGTTACAACGGCTGCCCCACCCTTCAAACCGAAACGCATTACTGCTTCACGACAGAAAAAGGCAGGGTGGTGGTACCTACCCGCGTGGACTCACAACCACCAGTAAAAATGCCTACTACTACTGAGAAGCTATTACAGCTTCACCCTAGCGTGTAGGTAAGCTTTCGGGGCTCAAACCGGAAGTGTTGCTAACACTGCCCCTAGCAAGAGCAGTGCTTCGTAGAATCTACCACTGGATCGGAAACGCGACCCTCTGAGAAGATCTGGCGAGAAACTCAGTGGGCTCAATGTTTGCGCCTTTTCATAATCTCTATAGAAGTTATATTGTCGTATCTTTTTTTTTGCGCACGCGACCAGCTCTTACTCACGGTATATTAATACGTAAGTAGTTAAGACAGATGTTCACGAATGACTGCCACGGTGAAAGAGAAAACATCGTGTAATAAAAATGAAACTCGCCAAAATTATAATTTGTGTTACTACTGATGACAGGGCGCCTTGTGAATCCGCACTGATAGGTACCAACACCCTGGCATATAGCAGTGATGCGTTTCGGTATGAGGGGTAGGGCAGCCGTTGTACTGTAAAACTAAGACTTAGAACTCATGTCTCAAGGTGGGTGCCGGCACTTACTTTGATGATGACTCATGGGCTCCGGTGACCATTTAACACCAGGTGGGCTGTGAGCTCGTTCGGGCAATTAAGAAATATTATATTATATTATAATAAAATCTTTGGTCATAAATAATCGCCCTACTTGACACATAACAAAAATGGACAACCCTGCCCGTCCTGACAGAAAAGATAATATCTTTGCGATAGTTATTGGTCAAACTGTGGTAACACTGCTAAGAAATACCCCTACATATAACGTATTAAGAAACTTATAAAAAATTTAAACCTTAGGTACTTGGTTTAAAAGATAAGTCGGTTAAATTCATAAATTTACGTTAGTCATAATTTGATTGCTCAGTTGAAAAGTATGAATCACCGTAATTCAAGTACGACCGTCATTTCATTAATCACGCTAAAAACCCAAATAAAAAAAAATGTGACTTACACATTACCTAGTAGGTATATAGACAGGCACCTAAATTAATATTAGCTCAGCAGTTTCTATATCCTTTCTAATTGCTGTTTTTTATTTGTTGTAGTAATTTAATTTAACAAATTGAAACTAATAAAATTATGAAGAGTATTTCAATTATCCTGAATTTTTGTGAAAGAATTGTACATGAAAATGTATAATTTATTAAGTTCATAGCTACCTCATTTGCTCCCACCACACCCGCGTCCGCTAATAATTCTCTGGCCCATTCTTCAGTTAGGGCAACGTCATCGGGATCGGGCCCCTGTTCACACTCAGAATCCTCGCTTCCACTGCTGGGAGTCTCAGACATTGCTGAACTATCTATTCCTCCAGCTTGCATCTGATCTAATATTTCTGTATGTACTGACGAAAATTTACCACAATAGTAAAACATAGAACATTGCGGTTTTCATTACTTTCGAATATTAGTATTAATCATGCAGATGCCCGTGCAGATGCCTTGCCTTGAATAGTCGCCTAAGGTTGTCTCCCCGCCTCAGAGCTCCGCGCATGCGCGTCTCAATTATTCATCGAATCAAATACAAGACGCCACAGTACCTACACATTTTGTTCTAGAATAAGTAGGGCGTCATATAGGTACTTCACTTAACATTAAATTTCATATTACTTAAATTGGAGAAAAAGTGTGATTTAGAATTAACGGAAATTAAGTAAGAAAATGTGGCAAAATAAACGCAAAAATAGATTTTATGTAAAAAATAAATAGATATTTTATTTTCACGCTTGTTAATTATTGTTTTGTAGCCCGCATCTAACCTTATCCTTAAAATACTTACGAATTATAAATAGGTTTATTATAGAATTATAAATAGTTAGACGACCCTGTTCTGGTACACTTCAGATAACCCATCAACCGAGAGGCCCGACGGTTTCGGCGTCCACTGGACGCAAAACAAGTGGTAGACCACCGGGCCTCTTGGCCTGCGAGCTGTCCGAAGCTTGCCTAGATGGCGTGGCCAACACACAATTGCGAGTAGCTTATTGAAAGGATTTGTGCTAATTTTTGAAGTATTCTTTATATTTCTTGGATTGGCCGGTCACCGTCCTCGCGAACCCGTCGCTTGCGACGAAGGGCTCGACGAGTAAATTAACCCATAGACACCGCCCACTGAGTTTCTCGCCGGATCTTCTCAGTGGGTTCCGTTTCCGATTCGGTGGTAGATTCTGCGAAGCACTGCCCTTGCTAGGGCCAGTGCCAGTACCAGCAACACTCCCGGTTTGGGCCCCGTGAGCTCACCTACACCTAAAGGAAAAGCTGAAATATCCTCTCAAGGCTATCAGCATAGCTGGGAAAAGAAAAAAAAATCGGATCACATAAACAACGTTTTACTAGCAATACTTTAGCATCTTAACAATAAGCGTTTGAAAACAACAGTTAACAAACAGTTATAACAACATTTTTTTCTTACTTTATGTTTCACAGATGGAAATTGGCTATACAATATTTCTATGAATTAAGTATATTATTTTAATTTTTTAATTAATGGTAGGACCTCTTGTAAGTCCGCATGGGTAGGTCCACCAACCTGCCTATTTCTGCCGTGAAGCAGAGATGCGTTTCGGTTTGAAGGGTAGGGCAGAAGTCGTAACTATACTGAGACCCTGGAACTCAAATCTCAAGGTGGGTTTTATATATTATATATAATTTACGTTGTAGATGTCTATGGGCTCCGATAAACACTTAACACCAGGTGAGCTGTGAGGTCGTCCACTCATCTAAGCAATAAACAAAAAAAAATACATAAAAAAAACTGCAAAAAGCAAATGATATTTTAAATTTCTATAATCTATAGTGAGTATGTGATATCAGTAATCTTAAAAGGATGGTACCAATAACAAACCCTAGACCCTATGACAAAAACGCGACGAGTGAAGTCGTGTGATTTGTTTTATATTGTCTATTTAGTGTTTTTTTCAGTTTTAAATGTGTAATAACGGTAGTTTATTAACTATGTAGTGTCTGTGAAAGTGCACAAATGTCGGAAAATGAAACAAAGCCGCTGAACGGAACTTCTCCGGATCCTCGAAAAAGTCCACTGAAAGTCAAAGAAAAGTCTCAATAAATGACCACCATTTTACTGAGATTATATTTCATCCCATATCATTTCATTTCATTTTATCCCAGTTGATTAAGGTCTCAAATTAATCATCTTCATTTCATTTCATTTCACTCCATATTATCATTTTTCGTAAAAATAAGATAAAAATTTAAATAAGACATGAGCTAAAGGTCTTAGTTACCAGGTTATAAAATCCCTAAAAAAAACTGTATTCAATGTATTCATTAGAATTTGTGGTTTAATTACAGATCGGTGTTTTAAATTAAAATATTAATACAAAAATAAAATGGGAAACGAAAAATCAAGGAAGAAGAAACGATCATCATCGGAAAGCAGTTCTAGCTCCAGTAGTTCCGATTCATCAAGAGAAAAAAAGAGAATTCGCAAGTTAAAAAAAAAACTGCGTAAAGAACAGAAAAAGACTGAAAAAATTATAAAAAAGAAGTTAAAAAAGGAAAAGAAACGCTTGAAAAAAGAATACTTGAAAAGGAGTCAGAGTAGAGACAAAAGTCCCGAGGTATCTGCCGATATACCAGTTGGTTAGTTTTATCATAATTTTGAGATTCCACCGTATGTTCATAATGATTGTCACTCCCGCAAATTTCTTAGTTATTCCTATTCTATGTGAAAAGGTCAGAAATGAGCGAATACGTCTGAAGTAGTCGCGGCTTAGGCCTAGTAAACCCGCAGGCCGGTACCTTTCTTTTTTTTCTACCTAAGCTGCTAACCTTGAGAGGCTATTTCAGCGTAACCTTAACTAGTAGGTGAACTCGCGGGGCTCAAACCTGACGACGTTGATAACACGACATATAAAACATATGTTGTTTTTTTTTTTATTGCCTTTGTAGGCAGACGAGCATACGGCCCACCTGATGGTGAGTGGTTACCGTCGCCCATGGACTTCAGCAATGCCAAGGGCAGAGCCAAGCCGCTGCCTACCGCTGATTTCTCGGTTTTTATCTATTATACTATTATGTTTAATCACAGTAAATCAAAACTATTTAAAAATGCTTGTTATGGATAGAGAAATGCTCATTATGGATTCAAAAAACTCAAAACTGTAGAGAAGTTTGAATTGTATGAAGTTAACAAAAAATGCCTTCATTTTTAGAATTGATGGAGATCTCAAAGGCCATGGCACCGATGACAAAAGAGGAATGGGAGAAAAAACAGAGCATTATTAGAAGAGTATTGGATGAGGAAACAGGAAGATACAGGTTATCCTATCTTTCTAATTTTGTCATAATATTTGTTATTGTAATATTTGTATAAACCTTAATAATTTTTTTTAAATAGTCTTAAGCATATATTAGTTATTGGTTACTATATAGAGATATGCTCCTGCCTGATGAGGGAGATGAGCTCAAAACATGATGATAAAATACTAACAATCAAAGTTATTTGGAACCTCTGGGTTTGCGGAGGGACTTCGGTTCCCTCTGTATTTTGTACTGTATGTTAAATGGAGAGTGCTCTGAGGAATTGTTTGAGATGATACCGGCATCTCATTTTTACCATCGCACCGCCCGCCACCGGAGTAGAGTTCATCCATACTACCTGGAGCCACTGCGGTCATCCACAGTGTGTTTCCAGAGGTCTTTTTTGCCACGTACCATCCGGCTATGGAATGAGCTCCCCTCCACGGTGTTTACAGAGCGCTATGACATGTCCTTCTTCAAACGAGGCTTGTGGAGAGTATTAAATGGTAGGCAGCGGCTTGACTCTGCCCCTAGCATTGCTGAAGTCCATGGGCGACGGTAACCACTCACCATCAGGTGGGCCGTATGCTCGTCTGCCTACAAAGGCAATAAAAATAATAATAATAATAATAATAATAGTGGCTTTCATTGTTTTTTATACTATAAAAATGGGGACTGTAAATACTGTCATTTTTTTCCATCCCTCAGTTGTGTGCCTGTTTTCAGGTTAATCAAAGGTGATGGTGAAGTCCTTGAAGAGATTGTGTCCAAAGAGAGACACAAGGAAATCAACAGACAGGCTACACAAGCTGATGGTGCATTATTTCAAGCTCAAACACTTCATAAGTAGGGTAATCATGAATAACTCACCAGTTTTGCGTGTATCATTCCTTATTTTAAGTATCTGATACTTAGGATTTTTTGCAGCGTTTATTAGAAACTGCTTAGTTATGAAAATGATTGGTACCAAAAACATAAATTTTTAAGTTGGTTCCTTTAGGGTAGCTGATAGTTTTATGGTTATGCTTTAATAATAAAGTTGAGTGACTAATGTTTCTCTATTCCACTTTAAAACATAGCAAGTACCTCCTTAAATGAAGGCAACATTGTTTTTGTTATTTTTTATGAAATAAAAGCTATTATGATTATTAAGAAAATATTGAGTTTATATTTTACAATCCATTTTGTATTCTGCACATTTTTTAGCTCTGGAAATGGGCAGACAAATTCATTGTACAATTTCTATTTCCCAATATTCTTCCTGCTCTGGTCCCTACTTGTAAGTGGCAGTAGATATAGGCTCACAGTGGTGGACACTGCTATATATTCTGTAAATAATCGATGGATGTCCTGTATGGAGCTGCATGCACTTAGTGAAGTTTGACACCACTTAATACCAGGTGGATCGTTTACCAATCTAGGAAATAAATAAAAAAAACACCTTGTAAGTAGCCATCCATTTTGTTTAAATATCTTTAGTGGCTCATGCCCTTGCCTATAAAATGGAGCTTAGGTTTGGAATTAATAAGATATTAGAAGCATTTGCAATTTTACATCCATGATACAGATAAAAATCGCAACCGACACAACTAATTGGAACGATTGAATTCATCAACCAAAATGCATGGTTTTTTTTAACATTAACTTATAAAATCAATAATAATAAAACCAATCTTTTAAATCAACAGTCACAATATATTTCTTGACTAAAGTAAAACATTTACAATTCGTCTTTGGCTTTTGACAAAAATATGTCCTCATTCGTCTTGTCTTCTGGATCTGTACTGGCTGAATCTTGTAAATGCTCTGTGATGAGTCCAATCAGGCTATCAAGAGGTCTACCACCATGTTCTACACTTACTATTTTCTTATGTCTGTACAATATTAATGTGGGTAGTCCATTAATCTGAAAAATATATATATTATTATCGACGTTTGAAAAGCAAACGTGACTAAGCGACAATAACTGCTTTGTACATAAACGATAGGCAATAACCATATTCGATACGGAAAAAAGTATGTATTTCTAAGTCTATTAAAATCATTGCAATCCTATAGCTAGATTCGTTAAAATATAATTTTTTCAGGTATTTCAATTTTAAATTAGTCTACTGTAAAGTTCACGCATTGTCGCTTAGTCATGTTTGCCTTTCAAGCGTCGTTATAATTGATTTTATAATCATACGCAGTACTACACATTTAATAGCTAGGCCAGGTTTTGAGATGAGAAGTTTCAAGCGGAAATTCGGAATCCTATTTATAATGAATTTAATGTGTTATACCTTTTCTGTTTCACAAATAGGTTTACTCTGCACACAGTCAACATCTGCAATCAATACTCTTGTCTCGTTTTGGAACTTTTCCCCTAATTTAATCCATAATGGGCTTAACTGCATACAATGTGCGCACCTGTAAGCAAACCAAGGAAGTTCACAAACTCTCATCAAATTCTGGACTATAGACTTAGGATTTATATACTAAATTGACACAGGAGGTAATAATATAACAACTATTACAAAAATAAACAAAACAGTAAATGCAATAAAATGAAAAAATGCCTATTTGTAGAATACTGCAGTGTATAATCGTAAACTCATCATGTTCATAAACCTCTAATTCCAAACTGTTCTGATCTTCAAACTGTTTGCCCTGAATTGCCTATAATCCTGGCAGTATCACTAAGTCATAGAACTAGTTTAAGCTACACACTTCTCACCTGGAAGCATTTATTGTTCAGTCCCACCTACTGACACTGGCTGTGTGGCCTAGAATAGTTTCACTGCCGAGTGGGCAAAAAGCGACTAACAGATTCTTAGAGAGGGATTTAACTAAGACTGTATTACAGCAGCACTTTGATTACCTACCGCCATTTACTTATGGTGTGTACGACAAATTAGTCTAAGCACTGTTAAAGTCACAGATAGAAATATTTTCACACACTGTTATACTTTGTATAAGCTCCCATTAACTTAATTGTTATGTTATATTTTTAAATTTGAATGGTAGACAAGATCATTAGCAAAATTCCAAATTATTCTAAATTGATATAGGATATTTACAGGATATTAATAATATGGAAAACTTAAAAATCCAGGAATCATTTAAAAACAATAATTTCATTTTTAAAGCACTAACTAACCATGGCGCAAAATAATTAATAAAAACTAAGTCATTTTGCAGAAAAGTTTCGAATGTCTCCTCAGATATCCTGGCCACAGGAAGTGCTTTCTTTTTTCTTAGAAATTTCTCTGGATCGTGATTTTCAGAAAGCAACATTTTTTCAACAAATGCTTTCAAATCGTCTAAGTTTTCCCCGTTCGAAGCACCCATCTGTAGAAGAAAGTAATAGTAGAATAAACTTATTTCTTTATATTATTATGATATAGGCTATATTATCTTGGAGGATCTATTAGACTTTATTAAAATCAATTAAAGTACAGAGTGTTCTTTAGTTTATATTCAAGTGTTTTAATTTGTTCTCTTGATAGTACACAAAAAGGACTCTAAAATTTAATAAATAGCATTTACAAAGTGTTTTTTTGCAATTTTATTGGGTGACTTGAGCTCACGGCTCGCCTGGCGTTCAATAATCACCGGATCTAAAGCCATCACAATGCGAATGGTCATCTTGAGACATGAGGTCTAAGTATCAAGTGTATTCAGTTATAGTATTTTTTTTATTGTCCTTACAGGCAGACGTACATACAGTCCACCTGATTTTGAGTTGTTACCGTCGTCCATGGACTTCAGCAATGACAGGCGTAGAGCTAAGCCTTGCCCACAAAGCTTGTCTAGGCTTCTTACCCTTCAAATCGTAACGCATTAAGAGTTCGCGGCAGAAATTAGCTTAATCGTAAAACCTACCTGTGCATGCTCAGGAGACACACTTGCCACCAGTAATTGCGCAAATTTTAATTTTAAGTACACAATATTAATATTTAATTGTCATGAAAATGTGGTAAGTACGTATTTCATTAGAAAAAGTAGTTAATCATGAAAATGTGGTAAGTACATATTTGATTAGAAAAATTAGTACTTGCTTGTGGCATTTAAGCACTGGCATAGTCACATCTCTCAACACGGTTGCCTCATCATCAGAAATAAAACATGTGCCACTATGAAGTGAAAATAAATAAAAATTATCTATTCAGATAAATTTAATCATTAGAAACTTGTTATATATATACTCACAATTTTTCCATTAACAATCCAGAGTAAATAGGGGTACTGTTTGACTTCAAAATTTTTGCATGTTATCTCATTATCCATACAATTAACTTTTCCAATTTTTATGTAGTTGTTGTGAGCGTAATGTACTGCTAAGTCTGCCCAAATCGGTGCCATCCTCTGAAAATTCAATATAAATGTGGTGTGTTACATCATTGTCGTACTTCTGCATTCTGGCAAACATATTTATGAACCTTATTCTAGAAATAACAATGGAAACTGGCTGTTCTATTTGCTGTGATCTGGGAACCATCAACGTCATCATCTTGGTGAACTGATGGTATGGTCACTGACTGAAAGGTGAGCAGCATGGTTGTAATTGACTGCATGAAAAATTTGAAAACTGACCGACTAAGTTATGTGAGCTGTGAAATAGAAAGATAGTGCACCAACCCTAATAAAGCACAGTTTTAGTAGTGTATTGACCTCAATCCAGTAATGAAATCTTTTGCTCTCCTAGAATGGCTTAATTTGACACAAAATTTGGTACCAAATGCTATTCTGCTCTTAAACCATGATAATGCAGAATGAAGTGGCAAAGTGTAAAAAAGAGTATTTCCTCTACAGCGCATCTGATCCAATGCAAGAGTTTAGTTACTATAACTGATTGGCCTCTACTTTCTGCCATCTTAGTAAAGTTTCAGCATCATCCAGGGGCTTCAGCACTGCTGGTACTGGGGTTTGCTAAAACGTAGATGCATCTCTCTCAGAACTCTATTGTACCCTTATCCAGCCAGTTAGTCTATATGATAGTAAACAATCTTGAAACCTTTATATCAAAGCTTTACTTTATAGAGATACACTACATTTTTTTAGTAAGTTGGTATCACAGTTTTTGCCAGACATTGCATAACAAAGTCAAAATTTATCATCCCCATCATTGATGGTAGAAACAATCATTTCTACAATCATTTTTTATAAGTTTGGGATTACCTGAGATGCACGACACCAAGGTACAAAAAACATGATAAAATGCTGTCCTTTTGACACAAACTTCTCAATATTCAGGTCATTCAGATAGGACATGCCGCTGTATGTTTTAACTTCATTTGGTTGTTTTGATTGTTTGCCCTGAAATAATAAATTGGATACAGGTTTATATATATTATATTTTAAATTCAGTTACATTTTTATTATGTAGTCTAGGAAGATAGGTCAGTCAGAAAAATTTATAATAAAGTGATATTTGATACAGAACTTCCATTTATATCCATTCATCAAAATAGTTTAAATGAAGTATAAATCTCATTGGTATTTAACCTCATATACTATGGCTAATGGCATTAATCTTGTGATGTTTGTAGGCTAGAATTTAATCTCATTGACCTACTTTAGCAATGAATTATGAAGAATGATTTTTTTGAATTCTGATCAACAATGACAAAATGGTTCTACTCACCTCTGTTTTGACAGAGAAGGCTTCGCTCAGAAACAATGTCAATGATGGCAAGTCCCTTGTTCCTTTGTATTCAACTGGTGTAAATGTATTTTTGTGGAAATAAAATAATGTTGGATAACCTGTAATTTTTTTCAAATTTATTTACACCATCAACTAGTGTACCTATTTTAAAAAAAAATTCTATTATGTACATACTTAAAAACAAGAAAATTATGTGTATGCTTACTTAAGTACCTGTTATTTCATTTTCATGACAAAGCTTAGCATGCACTGTGCAGTCAACTTGGGCAATGGCAAATTTGGAGTCCTTGGTATTAACCAGCTCTGCCAATTCTGACCATATCGGATAAAATTCTGTGCAATGTCTACACCTTAAAACATATAATTTCTGTAAATGGTATAGTACAGTAATGGTAAAAAATATAGATATTATGGCAATTTCAAACAGTTTTTTACTGAAACTCTCTTGGAACACATCTTTAGTTGTGGATGGTTAACAACTTTTTTAATTTTATATCGTGAATTACCCTCATTGAATCAGTCGTCAGCCTTTTTGTAAAAATGCTCATCTAACTTTGTAGTTTAGTCAATAAGTATGAAGGATCTTTTTCACCACTACCCACATCAGTTCGTTTTTATTGAGGGCATTCAAATCTTTTGTTTTGAACGGAAGCTTGGCTGTGATCTTCGTATTTTCAATTTCTATTAGAGGTTCACACACAATAGGCCTCATCGATGTCACTACGGTATACCATTTACATTTCGGTCAACTAAAGAAAATTAGATGAAGTTTATTTATAAAATCGTTTCGATTCAATATTTAGTATAATTTTTATCCTAAATAAATGAATATGTAGATTGTTTTGAATTTAATCACTGAAAGGAATAATGTAAATTCAATTATTGTTCTCACCATGGCGCGTAAAACATAATAAAGTTTCCATCCATTTCTTCGATCTGGAATTTGAAATTACTGGGATTGTATTCGTAAACAGAACTCTGTTCAGGAGCTACAAGATACGGAAATACAAATAGATATGGTAATATCTTCATTGTGGTGAAGGAATATATTTCTACACAATGCCTCTGTGAATTGAGGTAACTTTTTTAGGTTGTTTTCATTTATATCTTTTCTCCTTCTCATTAGTTAAGTAGCTAATAGGTTAAATCTAAAACAACAAATAATTTCGTATTTGTTGGATATTTTGCTTTGCTGCACAGCATAGATTAAACACATAATTTATTCGACTGCACAGTGCACAACACTTCAAACTTTTTCGTTTGGTTTGTCTATTGGCAGCACAGGGAACGTAGCACATATAACATACACAGTAATATTCTATAACAAAGGTGAATCTATGTCTGTTGTGTGGAAAGTCAACTGAAATAGATTGATAAAAAATTGAATCAAAAATTAAATTAGATATCTTTTTTATTGTCCTTATAGGCAGACGAGGATACGGTCTACCTGATAGTGAGTGATTACCGTCGCCCATGGACTTCAGCAATGCCAGGGGCAGAGCCAAGCCGCTGCCTACCGTTAAGTATTCTCGCCGTTAAGTACTCTGCACAAGCCTCGTTTGAAGAAGGATATGTGGATCTTCGATCAACAATAGTAACTAGATAAAGGGATACGTATAAAATTAAAGCAAAAACTGTCCGCGTGAATATATACTTATATAGCTACATTCGTTTACTAACAAACGGAGAAAAAAGTTTTGAAACACTTTTACTTTCAAACTAATAACAACTATGGCACGTAGTAATAAAGTCACAAATCTCCAAAACATTATCTAATACTTACGATCATTCGTCACATAAAACGAGCAAAGCAATAAATTACTCCTGTCACTTACCAATAAAAAGACATATTTTAAACAACTTTTAATGTTAAATCAATCTTAAAGCGCAACAAATAAAGTAACTTTTCCCTTAATTGCTCTCAGAACTAACATCGTTTTGCTTTATTTATTTTTGCTTCTTGAAATGCCGATTTCTATTTACTACAGGAGGTAAGGGAGTCGCGCTTAACACTAAAATAATTTATTAATGAATTAAAGTAAAAGTTTAGTTGTTTACTTTTTATGTTTTGGAAATGTATGTTTGTTAGTATCTATACATTACTTATTATTTTATTAGCGTTACGTTTTTGTGTAATATATATTTTTAAGTTTTCGCGACCAGTGCACATAATAAAACAACGTTTAAACGGTTTCAAGCGTGGTATTTTTATTACAATGTTTCGGCCACATTTCAGTAGCCGTGAGCACGGAAGGCAAAGATGTCCAGTGTCAATAAGCGGAGTTCTTAGCTGGCTTATAAAAGTCATCTCTTGTTTCTCTGGCGACAATCGAGATCCATTCTGCACACGTGATTGCTAGGAAAGCTAAAATAAAAATGGAAAGCTAAGTATCTAATGAGAGTCCAACAAACAGACACAAAAGCAGCATTAACCAATTTTAACCAACTAATTTTGAAGTGCTGCTAACAAATTTTAAAAAATTATTACAACACAAATCTACTCCATGCATTTACTGTTCTGTTAAGCAAAAGTTTGTCCATGTGTTGGCCGAGCCTTGGCCAACATTTGTAGCGGTGGTTAAAAATCGGTAATTTTGTTCAAAATTTAATATTATTTATAAGTTTAAAGCTTACAATATAGTTTATACTTCATGTACTTACCGAAAGTAAGATACTCCGGCCGTTAAATTGCTTTTTCGGGCCTTATTTTTGCAACTTTTGAATACACACTGCGGTATTGTGAGACGGGTTGACATTGGCTGTGTTTGAAGTGAACTAAACAAAATAAGAGCTCACATTTCAAGTGCGCTGTTATTTGACGAGACGGATTTTATGCACCGACCCGAAATCTAGTTACTATTGTTGATCGAAGATGTGGATTAACTGAACTGAGATAAAACAATACCATACCAATGAAATAATTAGTAAAATGGTTGGAATTAAACAAAATCTTAAGGGAGCCGGCACGGTGCGGCATTGTTCTGGCGCAGCTGGAACACAGGCCGTACTTATTGTCCGTTTAATGTTGTACTCATAGACAATACACATAACTTTTGTACTCTCCTCCAACTAATATATTCATCTGTGCTCTCCTGATATTATGTGTATTATTTATACTTTCCTCTCATGCTCGCTACACGAGTTGATATTTGCGACGATCTTCTTTGAACTGTTGACTTTGAACCGCAACAAGAAAGCCGCGGCATATATCGCCGTCAAACACCAATAAGGGCGAACCGTTGGCCATATTTGTTCACCACCTAACCGGGGACCTGCAACACTTTCGCGAGATACGACGCCAAGGATACCACCGTTGGTTGCTTTGTGGTGTTTGTATTTTGCCGCACGCCGCCTATTATAATAGGTAGTTCGGAGGTTAAGGATGACAAGATAAGATCAATGGACTTTGGAAGAATTCAAAAAGCAATATCCAACTATTTTGTTTCGTTTAACCACCCTTGTGTACTTTCAGAGATACTAAAATGTTAATAAACCACCGTCATAACATACTAAACCTGATGAAACAGTAAATAAACAAATAAAAAAAGTCACAACTTGACAACAGCAACAACCTAAAAAAATTCCTAGCACTGGCCTCAGGTAAAGATGTACTTGGTTGAATTTACCACAGGATCGGAATCACAACCCTCCGTGAAGATCCGGCGAGATCTCAGTGGGTGGTGTCTATGAGCTACTTCATACGTCGAGCACAGCAGAGAGTAACGTGCACAGCGAACGACAGAAGAATCTTTGAAAGTGGACCTGAAAGATCGGAAAGAATATGTTAATGGCTACGGCGGCTTTAGGTTGCCCTGTTGCCTGGGTCGGATATGTAATGAGAAGCGGAAAGGTAATGGCACGCCGCTTTATCAAAATAGCGTTCCGACGCTTCCATAAGGTTTTTACCGATAGAAACTAATTAGTTCTTACGTACCACGGTGCTCCGAAGGCTATTTTGCAGAAATGGGATTGGATAACCTGGAGAGAGTTCATGTGTGAACGGGACGCGTGAGCGAACACTACACTTACCTATTTCCTTATTAACTCCAAGCAAGGGCGGATCCAGCTTTGGCGCCAGGAGAGGGTCACATAGTCAAATTTAGATGCGTTCGTTCCCAGACGTTTGCCATTATACAAAGTTATTATATTATATTAAATTAATTAAATATTGAAGGTATGTAGTTACATAAAAACTGTATGGTTACAAAATATATAAATAAAATCATTATATTCAATTAGTGGTCCACCTAAGTCCTGGAACCAGCTCAGGGGGTGGTCATGACCCCCATGCCCCCCCCCCCTGGATCCGCCATTGACTCCAAGCCTATTTCACAATGGAACGTATGCATGTTTTGTAGAGTGTCACCTTGTTATGAAGAAAATGAATTAGGCAATAGCAGATACAAATTGCTTAATTTAACAGTCTTAGAATTAGACCGTTATACTCTTTTTTTTTTCTTTAGAATTTTTGCAGTTAGGACTTTTGCTGTGAGTCCTGTGACTAGGTACTTACTCCATGCCTGTGACTTTCTTATTATTCGGATACAGTTTCATTTCGACAATTCTGTAGAAGTGTTTTTTTAAAGGTCTGATTATTACTTTTAATAGAGAAATTCCTACATTAGTAAGCAGATGAGTGCTTTAGCTGGGTTCTTTTTTACGAAAAAGAGTCGTCAAACAAAATGGAATTTAATCTTCTGTGTATCCGAACACACTAAAGAATGTGGTAATTCTTCAAAATGGTCGCTTTGTATGGTTTGCCAACTTGCATGTCTGTGTTTTAGAGTCCTTTGTTTTCATATTTCCTTAGAAATTCTCGCTTTAAAGCACAACTCTATCGACTCCAGATTGCCTCTTCCGTATAAAAATTAATGCGACTAATCAAAACTAAGTGTGCAAGAAAGATGTCATCGGCAATGTGAGAGCTGTCGATCGAACTGAATTTCATTTTATGGGATTATGACATTTGTGCATATAATACGGATTTACAGAAAGTGAAAAAGTGCCTGGTAATGAATTACAGTAATTAATTGTTCTTCTTAGTGCCTTGAATGAACGAAACATTGCTTTCCGAGCTCCCTCTAATTTTGGAATTCCACAAGTCTATGTCATGATTGATTCGCATTAGACATTCCTTACATCCTCGTACTCTTGGATAGAATGCGATACTGTTAAAAATTGTGTACTCGAATTGTCTGATACTGTAAACAGGTTCTGTATAAAGTCGACAAATCATATCCCTATCCTGTTGCCAAGATGTCAAACTTTTCTCATCTAACTTATTTAACTCATTATTTTATTATCACATAAAATTTAAGGGATCTAAAGCAAGAGGAATTCTCAATTGATTAGGTACTAATATTTAAAAATATTTTTCAGTTAAAAGAAAGTACCTTTCACGCTGCTACACAAAAAGCAATGTTGATACAGACTGACTAGTGAGGACATCGATATATAAACGAAATAAATTCGATAATAAAGACAGTGACAGTGCTGCGAGTCTTAATTAGAGTGTTGAATAAATGGTGCGGAGGATAATAAACAAGGATATGTACAGGGTGTGGGGTGTGCTCATGTGATGGGAGGCGTGGGGTGAGAGGTGAGGCGCACGGGCGCGGGCGCGGGCGCCATGAACCCGCCGGCGCCCGGCAAAACGGCTACGCGCTCCGGATACCACCAGAAGGCGCTTGCCGAAATCAGAAACTCATTGCTTCCCTTTGCGAACATTGGAAACTCTGAACCGCCAGGTTCATCAGCTGCTAGCACAGTTAGTTCAGGAGTGAGTTCGGGGTTTAGTTCTTCTTCGGGAAATGGACTCGATAAAGACTTGAATGTGCTACCTCAATCCTTGAACCAACTTATTGCCTTGGGTTATGATGAGGTGAGTTTAGTTATAATGAATTGCTAAAAGTGTTTCTAAATAACATATGAGTAGTGTTTTTTTAGTGTTGTTATTCCATTATCTTTAATTTTTATAAAAAAACTGGCTGGCATTGTTTTGCCATAAAAATATTTCTAGGAAAGATACCGACTGCAGTGCCGGGTTGCTTTGTAAATCTAAACCATTCTCAAATCCACCTGAAGATACACAGAAAATTTCATTAATATCGGTCCAGCCGCTTAGGAGGAGTTCAGTGACAAACACACGCACAGAAGAAATATACATATAAAAATAACTGGAATTTATAATACAATTAAAATATAATAAGAAAGACTATCAACTTTTAATGTAGAAGGCAGTGTATGGCCGATCTTATCAGTACTTATTGGTGATTAATGTCCATTTTCATTAATACCAAGGCTAAGGACAATCTTTAACCAGGTTTGAGTAAAACTTAAGTTATTGTTATTTGCAATAACTGAGAAATTTTAATTAAACATAAACACTATAAGTACAAGCTAATTACTTGCATATTGCCTGGTTGCAGTGGAATGAGGAATAGGCAATCTTGAAACCAGTGGTAGTTTGTTTTCATTTTCAACAATCATGTTAAACATAATTTAAATTGAATCAAATTTATAGTCATAACAGTTATAGAATGAATGCTTAAGGTTGTGTTCTTGGATATAATGTTGACCAGAATTAAATTGAGAAGTAATTTATTCACAATACAAAAACACAAGATTTTAATTTTTATTTTCATTATTGTATTGTGCATGTTGTAAATGCATATTGTCTTGAGAATCAATATGGTCATATACCAATATTCTGTCTATACCTGACACTTTAACCATGTATTCTGGTTTAAAGGGCAGGCTATCAAATATTTTAATGCATTTTTGAATTCAGCTTCGTGTTCAGATTTTTTAAAACCCCCTATTGTGATCTATAGGCTTAGTTATAAAGCCTAAAATAATAAAATCTAATATTATTGATAAAAAAAGAATTTTTTTAAATTATTCTACACATGCTTTTTTTTCTACCGTCTTGGATTATATGTATCTTCTAGCTATTAGTATCATTGGTGACTGATAGCAGGAAATTTTCAAGATCTCCAATATCAATTTAATTTTTAGTTTTCACAATTGTTCTCATAAATTTCCCAGACGAAAAATTACATTACTGTGTACTCAAATAAATCCTTTTTTCAACATATATAATAGTATTAGAATGAGGTAAAATAGGAATTATATTCACATAGTTTGTCTATGTAAAGTTTATAAGTCAGCAAGATAATAATTATATTACAATCTACAACAAAATAACAAAATTACAATAAAAACTCCAAGCAAGATCTACATAAGAAGTTCGGTATACTAGTTTTGCCATGCCATTATTATTATATTACCACACAGAGACTAGGTTTGTTGGTCGTCAACTATCCATTGATCGAATGTTGGTTGTTAATTTATAATGTTACTCTGCCCTTACTCTGCTCGGGCACTGGACCCAGACGAAGATCGGGCGTTGGGGGAGAGAGTGCAAGGAGAGTCTTTTGGTAGGTAGGGCCCTAAACGTTCTTGGACCTGCGTTTCTCTCCCAATGTCTACGGACCATCAACACCCACATACTCTACGCGCCCCCGAAGCCCCCCTGCCCGAATTTTTTATTATTAGATGGATGGTTTGTAACTGCCGCTGCAGGGTGGGGCACACCACCCTACCGAATTTTACTGTCAAGCAGTAATATGCTCTAATTAGAAGGGTAGGACAGTTAATATACTATACAATTGAAAAATTAGACCTCTTGTCTCGAGATGGATGACGGCGCATATACGCTGTGATGTCTATTGGCTCTAGTAGCCACTCACCGTCAGAAGGGATATTCACGGTGTACTTAGATTATAATCAATTTGGTAAAATTTCATTATCTTGTTTTGCTTCTGTTTTTGAATAATGAGTATATTATTTAGAAAAAATCATTTCAGGACCCAGCTGTGAGGGCACTCAAATATGCAGGAGGGCGTTTTGATGCAGCTCTCGATTATTTGTCGAAACAGCAAGAACCTCTCAACGGCGTCCTCAAAAGCAGTAACTTGAGTGCTCTTGGCACCAAACTTATCCGGAAACCTAGTCTAGAGAGAGAGATAAATCTACATCGTGGTAGTCCTGCACTTGATTCAGGTGCTGGTAGCTCCCGGTCTGATAGTCCGCGTCAATCGGAGCCACCGCCGCTACCACACGAGAAGCTGTCGCGACAGTATTCGCCTTCAGGTTTCTCAGAACCACCGCCACCTCCGCCGCCGCGATGTCCGTCCACGCCGCCGGTGCTGCCTTCCGTGCAGCAACTGCTCAAGCGCATGTCGCCGGCGCCACCTCTACCACCGGCGCGGGGCACCAGTCCCGTGGCGGCCGCGGCACCCACGCCGCCTGCCAGACAACCCATGATTGTACAAAATGGACCTCAAGTGCAACAGCAGCTTACGCAGCAGATACAAGCTCTCAGTATCTATCAAACGGGTGGCGGCGGCGAACTTCCACCGCCGTATCCGATGTCGGGTGCGCCGCCACCTCCTCCCTACTCGGTCTCTATCCAAAATCGTCAAAGCCCAACCCAGTCGCAGGATTACAGGAAGAGTCCATCGTCGGGGATCTATTCAGGAGGCACCTCCGCCGGCTCGCCGAGTCCAATTACGGTAACGCAATCGACTGGTTCAGCCGCGGGAATGACTCGCCCCACGCCGCTCCAGGCGTGGACCGCGAGACAAGCGGTGCAGCCTCCTATCATCATGCAGTCTGTGAAAAGCACACAAGTTCAGAAACCGGTACTACAAACGGCGATAGCACCGGTTGCCCCACCGCCAGCCACCAGTGCCGGAGCACCCCCACCCCCTCCTTCGTACGCGAGCTCCATCCAACAGAAGCAGGCACAGACTCCGCCCAGCTACCCGTCGGCACCGAAGCCGTCGTCTCCTGGCTCCACACCTACCGCGATTCCTCCCGCCGTCCCGACCACGGAGCCACCAAGTTATGCGATCACGATGCAAGTGCTCGCCGTTCAACGCGGCATGCACCCCGTCCCGCCGCCTCCGTACGGTAACCAAGCCGACAACACGACTACTGTTAATTCCCACCATTCTCCTTTACATAAGAAAATTTCGAATAACTGTGACGGTAAACCTGAATCGTCACAAGGGCCGCACGAAATTAAGTGTCCCAACCAGAACTGTACGAATAATCTCTTAAAAGACAACGTCGCGGCCTCCGGCTCCGACAAAGGCTCTAACGGATCATCGGACAGACGACCAAAAATGTTAGATAAGATAAGGCATCAATCGCCAATACCGGAACGCAGAAATTACAGTAAAGAAAAAGAAGACGAGAGAAGAGATTGTAAAGTCCGAAATTATTCACCGCAAGCTTTCAAATTTTTTATGGAACAGCATGTGGAAAACGTTTTGAAATCTTATAAACAGAGACTGTTCAGAAGGATGCAACTCGAAAAGGAGATGAGTAAAATAGGTCTAAGTGCAGAAGCTCAGTGTCAGATGAGAAAGATGCTGTCCCAGAAGGAATCCAATTATATTCGATTGAAAAGGGCCAAGATGGACAAGTCTATGTTTACTAAGATTAAGCCTATAGGTGTGGGAGCATTTGGGGAGGTGACGTTGGTGAAAAAGATCGATACTAGTCATCTGTATGCCATGAAGACACTTCGGAAAGCTGACGTGCTAAAGAGAAATCAAGTGGCACACGTAAAAGCCGAAAGAGACATATTGGCGGAGGCAGACAACGAATGGGTCGTCAAGCTTTATTACAGTTTCCAAGATAAAGATAATCTGTATTTTGTAATGGACTATATACCGGGCGGGGACCTTATGTCCTTATTAATAAAATTAGGAATATTCGAGGAGAATCTCGCTAGGTTCTACATTGCAGAGTTGACGTGTGCTGTTGAAAGCGTGCACAAAATGGGTTTTATCCACAGAGACATCAAGCCAGATAACATATTGATAGATCGTGATGGTCATATAAAGTTAACAGATTTTGGTCTATGCACCGGTTTTAGATGGACGCACAACTCCAAATATTATCAAAGGAACGGTATGAGACAGTTTTTTGTAAAATTTATGCAGTGTTTTAGAGATTGATTTGGTGTTACATTTTTTTTTTGTATTCAGATCATGGACGACAAGACTCAATGGATCCAGTGGATGGAGAATGGGGGGCTATGGGCGAATGTCGATGTTATCAACTCAAACCCTTAGAAAGGCGGCGGAGAAGAGAACACCAGCGGTGTTTGGCCCATTCGTTAGTGGGAACCCCAAACTATATTGCGCCAGAAGTCTTGCAGCGGACTGGATACACGCAGCTTTGCGATTGGTGGTCGGTTGGAGTTATATTGTACGAGATGTTGGTTGGGTCGCCGCCGTTCCTGGCGCCGACCCCCGCAGAGACGCAACTCAAGGTAACACACATAAATTTATTTTATTGATAATTTCATGTATTGAAAACAAAGCAATTTTTAATATCCTAGAAGCCATTGCTGGTTTTTTTCCATTTTAAAATTGTCAATTTAATAATGTGATTTAACATATAGTTCTAAAAAAATGTTCTTTAATGGATACAAAATAGAGTACAATTTGATATGCTGTTTGTTAAGATCTAGTAAAATAGATCATAGTCTACACTGATATTGCTTTTATTTTAATGACATTCTCTGTGTGCTTTTTGTGTTTTTCAACAATTGATTAAATCATTGTGAGGGCTGCTCTGAAAAAAAAACATTAAAAAATTTATCTAAATTCTCTATTTATTAACTTTCAGGTGATCAATTGGGAGAGTACACTACACGTACCTGATGCAGCCAACTTATCCCCAGAGAGCAAAGACCTCATTCTGCAGCTATGTTCTGGTCAAGACACAAGGCTTGGCAAAGATGCCAATGAAGTAAAAAACCATCCCTTCCTCAAGGGCATCGATTTTGACAAAGGATTGAGGAATCAGGTTGCTCCTTACATCCCGAGGATTGAATACCCAACAGACACATCCAACTTCGACCCCATTGATCCAGATAAGCTCAGGAACTCTGGTAGCTCAGATTCAAATAAATCAGACAGTGAACTATTAGACAATGGCAAGACTTTCCATGGTTTCTTTGAGTTCACATTCAGAAGATTCTTTGATGATGGCTATACGAGCAAAATCAATTTGGATGACAATGATAATCAAGGACCTGTGTACGTGTGATATCAACTGTGCAAATAGACAATCGGACTAACTCATAGGATTATATTTTTACAAAGTGTGTGCCTTTGACTCTCTCTATTAAAACACTAGTAAGTTTTGTAAACGTAACGAATATAACGTATTTAATAAATAAAAAAAATGTTAATAATCCCGGTGATAATGTTGTAATATTGTATCGTTATCAGTTCGTAAGGATAATATTATACGAGTGTAATATATACGGATGGATCGTAGTAGTGCATAATTCTTGATGGTGCTGTTGACGGGGCCGTGAATGTGCTTCGTTCTAATATCGTTTCATTCACTTGTATACTGTATTTTTGTAACTAGAGAAATTATTTATGAAATAAGGAAAAGCTTATTTGATCTAGCAAATGTTTTTGATAGTGTCATTATATTTTCTTATGTATTTATCATGTTAGGTCGCTTAAAATGTGTGTTTGTTTATATAATTGTAACTTATAAAGTCGTTATAAATAATCAAACTGGAATCGGCGTAAAGTTGTACTGTGCTTCCATTTGTCTGTTGGACACTAGCTCATATTGTGTGCCTTAGTATTGAAGAATTGTATATTGAAAGTGTATTTAGGGGAAGTAAATGTTTGTACGACTTTATTAGCAGTCAGCTCGGCAACGTGTAAAGAGTGCAATACGTATTTATTTAACACAACTTGAACTCTTGTTATCTTCGTTTTCGAAGATTTTTAGTTTGTCAATCGGATACTATGAGCACATTTCAGTCAAATGCTAGTATTAAAACGTGCAACTTTAAGTTATTTATGTTTACACTAACAATATTCAATTTACGAATGTATTAGCAAAATATTTATCATCAGTAATTGTTTTTTGGCAACACTAAATATTCTCCCTTTGTACAGTAAAATGCAAACGAGTCATTACAAAAACTTTAAATTATGTGTTATCAAATGTAAATTGTTTCATTCTGGAATGAAACATGCTTATAAGAAGTAAATGAAAAATAAAATATGGGATTTTTTGTTATATTTTTTCGTTTGGCCCTTCAGATTTGAATACCAAAAATAATTTTATTCTTATTATTAGGGTGATTGAAGGAAGTCTTGAACTTTTTTATTGAAATCTTCTGCATAACTTATGTGGATATTGTGCTTCCCATCGGGGTACAAATGTATTCTGCAAACAAAAATAAATACAGTGCGTTCAATAAATATCTAACATATTATCCCATCAACTAGTAAAACTTACATTAGGTCCAACATGGTCTACTATGGATAAAATAAATAAAGAATAATATTATGAATAAAGAAAAAAAAAATTTTTTTTTTCGGGTTTCGAATAGATAAAATTACTTAACCGCAGTAATAATATGAAAAGTGGTTTCGATTTATTAACCAGAATGAGCATATCATTTAATCTATAACACTGAAATAAAATTAATAGAACCAATAATAATAAAGTGAGAATAAGCCTTAATGCATGACATTTTGTGTGAAAACTTTTAATGATAAATGGTAAGTTTCTAAATGTAATTAAGTCTTGGTCTCTTGTTTAAATTGAGTGACAAATTAATTAGGTTGTGTTGTGACATTATGTGCTATGATATCCACTAACTGAGAAGGGTGGGGCAGCCATTGTAACTATATTGACATCATAGAACTCATACCTCAAGGTGGGTGGCGGTATTTACGTTATATGTTTATGGGCTCTGGTAAGCACTTAACACCAGGTGGGCTGTGAGCTCGTCCACCCATCCATGCAATAAAAATAAATAAAACTGGCAATCTGTGAGCATATTAATAAAATAATTACCGTGATCCTTCAATATGAGTATGCAAATGCGATACATGAACTCTGTCCACCAAAGGATCTTTTTCTCCATACAGTATAAGGGTAGGGCATTTGACATCCTTCAGTAATTCCGAACATATATTGCCATCTTTCTTATTGAAAAGATTTTCCATGCCTTCAACCCATTTACTCCAGTATTTTGCAAATAGTTCTTCACCATACACATCAATCATTGGTTGTCTCATTTTCTTTGACCACAATTTAATATCTTTTATCTCTGAAATATAAAGATAATTTCAAAATTAAAAAAAGTGGTCAATTAAAAATTATTGAATTGTTTTAGGTACAAACATATTGGAAACAGGAAAAAGGTGAAAAATGCAATATTTATAACATAATTTGTTAAAAAAATTGGCATAATTTTTTCAATGGACACATTTTGGACATCTTTTTAATTTTCAAATCTGTCTAGTCTGGATAGAAACAGTGGGTTTGGAAGCATTGCCTTCACCACCCCACTTATTCCCATCAATATATAATATCATAGTGTATTTATAAGTATATAATCTGTAACCCAGTTACTCTTAGAAATACACGAAGGTGTGGTAACCTCTGTTAAGATTTGTCCAATTTATGACAGATGGGTGATTGGGGACAATGTTAGATTAATTTCCAGGTCAACCAAGAAATCTAACCATCAAAATGTTCTTTTCATTTTGGTTGCAAAGTATGTAGATATGAACAGTGGGATTAATAAAAATAAACAGTCTCACAAAATTAAATCATAATTTTACTTAACCAACTTACTTTTAAGCATTTCTAATTCATGAGGTAACATAAATGAATTACTTCCCCATATCACTAGTTTTTGTACAGTTTCAGGATATTTTGCTGCATGTATTATCCCTGTTATGCCTCCATCACTCCACCCTAAGATTGAATATTTGGGAATATTTAGTGCCTAAAATAATATGAAGATTTTAACCCGTCTTTTGTTGCTACACTTTGATCATTTCAACTACATCACATTTTTCCGATTGTGGGAAACTGTTTGGGTTTGATTCTAGAGAGTATTACTTGAAAGAAGAGCTGGATCAAAAATTTTCAGAATTGAATATCTGGAAACTTATACTTGTCAATATTTTAAGACTTCTTTGTATTTCGTTATTGAGTTTTTTATAAAGGCAGTTTATCCTTCACTGTTGTTTACCTTCATAAAATTAAAAGCATAGTCAGCATCCTTTTCATAGAAGTCAACATCAAACTGCTTCATAGGAGGTCGACTTTTACCATAGCCTGGTGGATCCCATGCCACTAATGTAAAATCATTTTTGTCTATTCCTTCAATTTGAGGTTTATAATCGGTCCAGATAGTTCCAAGGGCTCCAGGTAAACAAATTAAATTGTGAGATCCTTTACCAACTTTGACATAGTTTATATTGCACCCAGATACTTTAACTTTCTCCTCCTAGAACATTTCCTTAATATTTTATTTGGTTATGAATAAAATGTTTATAAATAACTAATAAGATATGATTTAAAGTGTTACTAAATACTTTTACTTAAATGCGAATTATGACAATAATATATCACCTAATTGGCTTCACAAACAATAATCAAATAATATGATTATCATAATAACATTTATGAGCAAAATTAAATATTGCACAGTATTGTTTAAATTAGTTCTCACTCACCTTTGGAACGGCCGTAGACATGCATTTCGCATCTAACATTTTAATACAATTCGTAGCACGCAAAATAGCTTTAGCATTTCTAAGCCATAACAGCATTTCTAGTTTCAATGAAATCTTTCTTAGTCACTTTTTATTCCGTATGGACCGATGTACCTATTAGTTTAAAAAACTCACTAGGTCGCTAAATTCGCTAATTGTCGCTTAATTTATCAACATTCAAATCTTATTAAGGGTTAATCTCTTCAGTGGTTAATCAAGAATAATCAAGATCAACAATCAACATTGTTATCAATTAGAGATGTGATTTGAGATCATTAAATCGTAAAATCGGTTTTTCAACCAAAAATATATATTTAATTGGTTAATTAATCGATCTGATAGAAAGAGTGTATGTAATGTATGATACCACAATTGAAACAGCGGTTATCACTATTTCTATATTGAAGTAACTTAAAGCAAGGCAAGAGCGAGCACACGACTCGAGATGATTTTTTTTTATTGCTTAGATGGGTGGACGAGCTCATAGCCCACCTGGTGTTAAGTGGTTACTGGAGCCCATAGACATCCACAACGCAAATACGCCACCCATTTGGTGATGGTTTGCTTATTAGATATGAAATAATTAATAATTGGGAATTTAATTGTTTTTATGATCGAACAATCATCAATAGTCGTCGAACAAACGATAATTAATTAATCTGAGCGATAAAAATAAAGATATCTAGTAAGGGGGCCAACTTAAAGGTGATCATTTGTTTAATTAATTATAAATAAATAAAAGACGAACAAACCATTTTTACATTCGAACATTAACGAACAAATAATTAAAAATTAAAAAATCCGAAAATAAGAAAAGTGGGTCTAAATTCAGTGAGCCCCCATGGGCCATGTCTGGCTAAATATACAAGTTTTGTTTTAGGCACGAACTGTAAAATGAATTGTTTACTCAATATGGCTGGGATATTATTGAGAAATATTGTATAAGATGTAGGGAAACAAAGGTAATCGACTTTAAAACTTACGAACAATGAAATTAAAAATGTATCCTCGTAAAAATAAAACAAATCAATATTGTATTAAAATTTATTAATTGATGACGCATTACGTCCTAGCAAATAAACTAGCGTTAAGTTTGTTAAAAGCAAATTAACCGTTTGGTTGACAAAATAAATATAATGATCATTCCTTCATATGCATATTAGTTGAATTGTGACAATCTATAAACGAATTACAATTTTTTTGCAAGATCGGATAACACTATTTAGATACACAATTAACAAAACTAGCGTCTGTTTTAGAATTTACCATATATAAAGATAAAATTTACGTTCAGGCACCTCAAGCACTCAGAGATAGTATTGTGATCGCAGCGTAGATTCCCAAAACGTTTTCAATATTTTCGGTATCTACCATAGTAGTGTTAAAGTAACATATATGACATTAATTCCTATCTTACAAAATATTTTAGACTTTTTTTAACAAACTAAAGTTATTATTGAATGTAATTTAAAAGATAATACAAATATATCCTAGGTTCGTGTGGTGTTTTGTAACAAGCAATGGCTAACCATTTGAAAATGTCAAATGTCACTATTCAAACCTCCCATGGAATTGGGTTGAACCGAAATTCCGTATTATTCGAAGTAGGATACAAATTACAAATTAAAATTGTATGAAAGTTATTACTATAAGCGGCGACGACACTAGCAAGAAGTTTCAATAGAGATAATGCCATAGGTATGAAAATATAATATTCTTTTCATAATGCCGCATTATGTTACATAGTCTAAATGCACTAAGTTTTGCGGGGTAACTGATATTAATCCAGTTCACCGGCATTGCAAGCGTCTTCATAGCTCTTGCCTCTTTGTTCGGGGTCGAGTTTGATCATATCGTCAATACGGAGAATAGTAATCGCAGCTTCTGTTGCGAATTTCAACGATTTGATCTTGGATATCGCTGGCTCGAGGACTCCGGCTGCGAGGTTGTCCCGGAGTGTTCCTTCTGTTAGATCCAGACCTACCCATTTGAGGTTTGCGTGTTCCACCTGTAATAAAGAGTCAACCAGATCTAAATTATTTTTCACTTATAACAATGTGATCATATGGTTTGAATTGTCGCCTTGCTATGAAACAGGACTCAGTTCCATTTGTAAAAAAATGTGTGTGTGTGCAAGTATACACGGTAGAAGTGAAACTTATAAAATATAAAAATAATCGCAAGGGTCAACCACTCCGCAGTGCAATGGAGCAGTCGCACCCCGGGGGAACCGCCTGCATGATCCCGGTATCCTGACGCCAGGTGGGTATGATTTAGCAAGAGAAATACGAAAGTCTATCAACTGTGTAACATGTCGTCACCGCGATTCAGGAATTGTTGAATTTACATGCAGCGACATCAGTTGATAACAAACTAAATAGAAATAAAATAAACATGGCGCGTAACGGAACAAATTAAGATGGCGCGTAACGGAAGAAATTAAGATGGCGCGTAACCGAAAAACGTTACATACGTTTTTTCCTCCCTACGTCGATAAAGAAGTTTCACTTCATTTACTGGAATATTTTTAGTTATCCTGCATGGTCGATAATTTTACATACACGAATTTAATGATTAGATTGGTTCACATTATTATTTATTAAAAAAAATTCTAGACTTGGCAATAAACCAGGGCCCTAATTTGTTATGAAAATATTATTTGTTTACTGAGCTGAGCTAAACACAAATTCTTCTAATAAGTTCATATTATATTATCATCTACCAAATACTTCTACGATCCTTCAGCACCTGGAATCCCGACGCCTTTAGCATGTCTTTGTTTTGAAAACTTTTCAAATTGAAGTTGTATTATTAAATAAATGAAATATGTTATAATCAATTTTTTTTTACCTTGGTTTGTGATGAATTGTGGTAGGCTCGTAGCTTGGCGACGAGGTCGGTGGCGTCCCGCGCCGCGTTAACTGCCAACGTCTTCGGGATCACGAGGAGAGACTGCGCAAACGCTGCAATAGCCAACTGCTCGCGGGAGCTCTGCAATAGTAATAGTAGTAGTACGTGAGAAGTATAATTTGCAAAACAACAATTTTATTGTGAAATAAGGATGAAAGGCGATTGCGTGCAGTAGAGATGCGAATGTTGCGATGGATGTGTGGAGTAACGAGAATGGATAGAATACGGAATGAATATATTAGAGGAAATCTGAAAGTGGCACCTGTGACAGAGGAGCTGAGAAGTGCGCATTTGGGATGGTATGGACATGTGATGAGACGAAATAAAAATTAGGTTGGTAAGAGAGTGTTAACTATGAATGTGAAAGGCTATAGAGGAAGAGGTAGACCTAAGAAGAAACGGATGGATTGCGTGAAAGACGATATGTGTAAGAGGGGAGCATAGAAATGGTATATGATAGAGAAGTATGGATGGAGAAAACATGTTGCGCCGACCCCAAGTGACTGGGAGAAGGGCAGGAGAATGATGATGAACAATTTTATTGTGTTATTTGTGGATTTCGTGATGTTTTTTTCACTTTCGTTAGACGACTGAAGTCTCTGAAAATGTAATACACACTTTTTGAAAGAAATTAATATGAGTAGTAGGATTAATGGATTACTAACGAGGGTAGTCGCAAAGTTCTCCAAGTAGATGGAGAGTGCCGCTTCCACCGCGCCGCCGCCGGGCACGAGCTTGCCGGACTCCAGCACGCGGCGCACGGCGCACAGCGCGTCGTGCGCGGACCGCTCCATCTCGTCGCAGTACGCGTCCGTGGGACCGCGCAGGATGAGCGACGCGGCCGTGCGCGCTGCCGGCCTGTGTATAAGAATAATATAATTTTTTTTATTGCTTAAATGGGTGGACGAGCCCACAGCCCACCTGGTTGTTAAGTGGTTACTGTCGCCCATAGACATTTACAACGTAAATACGCCATCTACTTTGAGATATAAGTTCTAAAGTCTCAGTATAGTTACGACGGCTGCCCCCCACCCTTCAAACCGAAACGCATTACTGCTTCACGGCAGAAATACGCAAGGTGGTGGTACCTGCCCGCGTGGACTCACAAGTGGTCCTACCACCAGATTAATAAACTTTCAAAAAGGCGTTCCACAATCAAGGATTTACATCTGTACTCTACAAAACCACACGAGCTAAATCTAGATTCCGAAAATCAAATACGTCTGAATATTTCAACAAACATAAAAGCTTCAAACAGAGAATTGAAGGTGATCTATAAATATATATTAATAAAAATTACAATCTCACACCATAGTGATTTACGAAAACTTAGGATTACAATTCTAAAGTTGGTGTCAATTTTAAAACCACAAACAAATATTAGTTATAGTGTATGTATGAATTCTTTATTTTAGTTTATCACGTATGTCGATGAACGAATGATTGAATGACACATCTATAATGAGCTATAAAATTATTTTAACAATACTTAAGTAGAAACTGGGAAAATATTTTAAATATTTGAATGTACCAATGAAGTAATTACGTGAGCTTCCTAGTTTTTTTTTAATATTTTAGTTGCGTGTGTTTGGGATTTTTTTTTATCACTTACCCTTTGATTAAAATAAGTTGATCATCACAGATTTGTTCCTGGACCACTTCAGCGGCTTCACCAATCATATTAGCTTCAAATACTTCTTCACCTAAAATTTTAATTAACTTGTGCAATGAAAATAAATACTAATTACAAATCTATATATTAATACGTGAAACAAAAACTTTATATCCCTTTTTACGAAAATTGCGCGGACGGAGGAGTATAGAATTTCCCACACTTATAGAGAATATAGAGGAGTGCAGAAAGCTAATATATTTTTTAAATCAATAAAAAACATTACACACACTACCATGTATTTGACACACACACACACACATACAAAAATTATAATATACAAACTTATGATTTCAATTAATTATAGTCGAATTTCGATTACTGCGGGACCACTAGTTATTTTAAATATATAATACCAGTAGCAGTATTACAGAACAGAAGGAATCTGACAAAAACCTATATCACTCCAACAAGAATTTCTAGATAATCTTGCATACATACAAATTCTGAAAGATCACTTATTTAATAGCTAGTAGTGTTTGTACCGGTCACTAATATTTATGCTTTTGATCAACTTACCATCCATATTAGTCAAAGAAGTCAAAAAAGTAGCTCCAGTAGCCTTGGCGATCCTTTTTAGATCTGCCTTCTTACACCTCCTGACACCCATTGCTCCAGCTTCAACGAAATACTTCAAACATAGATCATCAATGCCTCCCGTGCAAAGAATAACATTGACGCCGGTAGCGAGAATCTTCTGTAAGCGTTCTTTGGTGATGTCCAGTTCTCTTGCACGGATCGCTTCTAATTTTTCTGGATCAGTCACAAGAACCTGTAGATTGAAAGCATTATGAATAGATAATCTTACGCAAGTCTATATGGTTTTTATCTAGCATGTAAAGATATGAAGCCAACTTCTTTGAACTGTTATAGTCCATTTTTTTATTTTATTTCATAGATGTGTGGACGAGCTCACAGCCCACCTGGTGTTAAGTGGTTACTGGAGCCCAGACATCCACAACGTAAATGCGCCACCAACCTTCAGATACAAGTTCTAAGGTCTCAAGTATAGTTACAACCGCTGCCCCACCCTTGAAACCGAAACGCATTACTGCTTCACGGCAGAAATAGGCAGGGTGGTGGTGGTTGCGGACTCACAAGAGGTCCTACCACCAGTAATTACGCAAATTATAATTTTGCGGGGTTTCATTTTTATTACACGATGTTATTCCTTCACCGTGGAAGTCAATCGTGAACATTTGTTGAGTACGTATTTCATTAGAAAAATTGGTACCCGCCTGCGGGATTCGAACACCGGTGCATCGCTTCAACACGAATGCACCGGACGTCTTATCCGTTAGGCCACGACGACTAATCATCTCATTAGAAGTTTATTTTGCTTACTTAACATTTGATGTTATGTTTAATTCTTATCTTAGATATTGGGAAAGGGTATTGTGGTCCAATTCAGGTTTTACATTAGCATCCTTACTTCTATTGCTATTGCATACAAAATAATGTATATAAGAATTGAAACACTGACAGAAATATTTAAAAAAAGTGAATAAAAATGAGATTATTAATAAATAATGTACATACCTGAACGCCCAATTTCATCTTAGTTTTTTGCAGAGAAAAATCAAGGCAGGCGATCTTTGCATTGAGAATCTTCTTCGGCATTGCCTGTGATGCTACAGTGCAGTTCAGAGCATAGCCTTTGACAAGTACACTTTCCCTGGCACTGCGGCCGTGGGCTTTCAGAATGTTAATAGCTTTGATAGGGTATATAGTATTTCCTCTGGGGTTCATTGTTTTGATTGCCTGTGCAGCATCTACAACCATCTCCGAGAAGAAATCTGCATCACTATGAGGAAGCTGTTAAGGAATTATCTTGTTTAATATTCAAACTTAAATCTGATATAATTTATTTTAGTTTTTTTTTGTTATATCATGGAATGTTATATTGACAACTATTTAATATTCTAAAACTTAAAACTAATCAAAGATGTTGGTTATTGCACATGTGATGTCACATACTTTTTATTTAGAAGTATATTTCAGACTAAAAATGAATAAAAATTATTATTTAGAAGTCATATTATATTATTATGAGAATTATACTATTTTCAATACTCCAGTATACATCTACCTATAATAATTATTGAGTAACCCAAAATCATTATTACTATGATACTTTTGTTAATTGTATTATTGGCTTGGCTGAAGGATTTCTTCACGATGATAACGATTAATTAAAGCTTCAATGAAAGATAATTTGTAATATAAAGGATACGCTCCAATTAGTTTAGATGACATGGTTGTTTTGGCTGTGTTGATCAGAGACGGCCTGCCAAGTGACTCTACTGTTACTGTGAGGTTATCCTGAATGTACTTGACTGCTTCTTTACAGGCGAGACGGTATCCTGAGATAATGCTTGTTGGATGGATCTTGGTCTTCACTAGTTCATCTGCATTCTGTGAAGTGTTTTATTAATGACATTATCTGACATACGTCTTTGTGCTTTGAGTATCAAATGTCAAGATTGAATTAAATTTCATTCACAAATAATCAAAAATTTTCAGTAATTGGCAAACAGACAGCTGATCACAAAATGGTCCAGTGAATGGGAATGGTCACCATTGGTTACGTAACAAGTTGGTCAGCAAACTTAAAACAGTCGTAAGACTCCCGAAGGAACTGCGATGCTGCTTGTACGATGCCTCTCACTCACAAACTATATAAGATTAACTTAAAACATTATCTGTTTATTGTATGGTTTGTTGTACCAGTTCATTTAGAATAACAGGATGCATATTTTTAGAAATAAATGCATATTTTGTAACCCCTTTATAAACCGGAAGATGCAGAAAGTAAAAATAATATTCAATAAAACCAACCAAACTCCATAGCATCAAGTTAAAAATAAGAAATATTTTCAGGGGATACATTGAATTGCATTGAAGTTATAAAAATACCTTAAGTAGTTCAGCAGCAATGATGACTACAGATGTGGTACCATCTCCAACTTCTTCATCTTGTAGCTGTGCTAGTTCCACTAAGACTTTGGCAGCAGGATGCTCCACTTCCAGCATTCTATTATGAGTAATTTTAACTTTTTTATGTGTAACACGAATACAGTTAAGGGCTACTAAAGTTTTTTACACTTATCTTCATTATATAAATATCAGTGGTGGTAAGTACATGTTGTAAATTGTACAAGTATCAATTTTTTTTTTATTGCGTGATGTTTGGACGAGCTCACAGTTCACCTGGTGTTGAGTGGTTACTGGAGGCCATAGACATCTACAACGTAAATGCCACCACCCACCTTGAGATAGAATTCTAAGCTCTCAGTACAGTACAGTTACAATGGCTGAAATGATCTGTGAACTCATCCACCAATTTATAAACTTAAAAAACTGTTTATTATTTTGCATTTTTTTTTATTGCCCTTGTAGGCAGACGAGCATACGGCCCAACTGATGGTGAGTGGTTACCGTCGCCCATGGACTTCAGCAATGCCAGGGGCAAAGCCAAGCCGCTGCCTACCGCTGAATTTTCAAATATCACATCTGCACTTTTAACTATGCATCACAAATCTATGCTCTGCTGCTTCACAACAAGAGAATATGACACTAAATTAACTTACTTTAATATTGTGGCACCATCGTTAGTGACTGTAACATCCCCAATATCGTCAACCAGCATCTTATCCAGACCAACTGGCCCAAGGGAGCTCTTTACTATGTTTGCTATAGCCGCTGCTGCCATTACTAGAAATTTCAAATGATTAAACACGTATAATTATTTGTATTGTGATTTTTTTTTTATATGGAAATAATTTACTAGGGTTGTCAGTTATTTCTTTGTTTATTAAATGCTGTTTTGCAATCACTAAAAATTACACAAAATCTACGTTCAACTGCAATTTAAGTTAGCGATTATGCTTTGGCTTTGAAATTCAATAGACTCCTACTTTTATGTCTCTTACGATGAGTGGGTTTCATTACATCGTAACACTTAAGTTTAAATGGATAGGTTATCATAAAAAACTATCAGATTATGTCTTTCGAGGACTTAAATCAGTTATTTCCTTGGTTATTATGAGATATTGACATGAAAATATGTATTTTAGAAATATAATCAAGAGATATAGGCAAAATTAAAATCATAAGTGCTGAAGGCATGTGATATACCGGGGTCTTCTTTGATGGTATATGTTTGTATGAAAATTTACCATTTTGTGTTCTCACTGGGTCTCCGCAGGATCTTGTCCCTGCTACAGACAAAGGTGCAGCTATAGTCGACATTTTTTATTGTATTTATAACACAAAATTCACTTTAGAATCGCCGTCACGCTTTTTTGTTTCTGGAAGGAGCTTAAAAGTTACCAGTGTTAAAAATTTGAAACTCTGACAGTTATTTCTTTTTTTAGATTATCGACGGCCATTAGTAGCTCGATATTTTAGTTCTATTGGTGCATCTTAAATATTCCAATGATATTTAATAACAATGAGTAGAGTATTTTGTAAAATAGCACAAATTTACTAACTTCAATCGAAATTTCGGGTCAGTCGGAGAAATCGAAAACACTCATGATAATGAACTAATAACTTAAAAAGCTTTAAAATTGACACAACAATAAAATTCACATAGTTAACATAAAATTTCAAAAAAACATTCGTTGGAAAAATATTGGTGGAGAATATTCGCCTTGCATTGATTGGGTAACGATAACAGCTACGTTTTCTAGTTTACGTTAGAGAGGACCAAATTACAATTTGGATGTTGTAGAAACCTTTTTACAGTAAACTCCCACAGCCCCCTGAGTTGTTCGCCGGATCTTTTCAGTCGGTCGCGATTCCGATCCGATGGTAGATTCTGCGAAGCACTTCTCTTGCTAAAGTTAGTGTTAGCAAATTCTCTCAGGTTGAGCCCGTGAGATTACCTACTCGTCTGGGCGTAGCTGGAACAGCCCCTTAGGCTACCAGGGAATAGGTAGGGAGAAAAGTAAACTCCCATCTAAATGTTTTTTTCAAATTTTGTTTCCAAATTTCAAACGAACTTTTGATAGTATTGTTCAGTGGTCTGAAGAAACGATATATTTTTGTCAAAAGTCAAAATTATAACACAAAAATAGATTGTAAATATTGATATTACAAATATTCAGGACTAACTTTCATGATGCTACTTGGGTGATTAGTGATTGTAGAGCATATCGTGAATATCTGTAGATAATAAAACTATAGATTCAATTAAGAAGAATTCTTGCTTAATCTTTGTTTAATTTAACGAGGCCTGCACATTCGTATAGCTGAATTCGAAATGAACTTATATGGCATACATACGCAAATTTACTTTATATTATTTGGTATATATTACGGAAAAATCAATGCCAGGCATTTTTTGCTGGTGTAGTGTAGGCACCCAGCAGTTTGTAAAATTTGTTGAAAATTTTCGGTAGGTAACTAAGGCATTATCAAAGACGAAACAGTAAAAATGATACCAATGGTAGTTTAGAGATAACTCCGCACTGAGTATTAAAATTTAGAATACAATTTCCTGAATAGATATTTGCTATTTGGGGTCCAATGGACCCCGAAGATGTAATGGCGTGGATGATATATTTTGAAATTGTCATGGCCTAAAGGATAAAACACTAGTATACTAGAGCTCATTGTGACACAAATGCTTTTAGTCTATGGTATCATAGACGCCTATGTGTAGGACCCAGCTCATCTAGTAGCAGAGACCTACCGTTTATCACTCTAGAAGTGTCTAAAAAGTGCTCTGGGTCCACCTGATACCGTTTCGGTACTGTTGAATGCTTAGCGGTATAGTAGTTTCAGGCAGCTGAATTTCTCGCTCATTAACTGTTCAGCAAGTTGGAATTCCAATTCTTTGATTGATTCTTTTCCGAAGCCGTGGTTAGCGCTTTCAAGCTGCCCCTTGAGCTCGCCTATCCAATCTGGTGAAAAGCGGAAGACTCTGGACTTACAGCAGTCTTGCTGTCACAACAGTCTTGATGGAGGTCTCTCCATAAAAAAAAACCTTAATAAGCAGGCCAGGGCCGGTTTAAACTTAATGCCGCTCCTGGGCACCGGAAAAAAATCTGCCCCAATACTGAAATTTTACTTTAACTTATAGTTTATATATTTTCTTCTTCAACTTTACTAGAAACTTTATTATAATATGTTATATATTCGAAAAACATAAATAAATATATGTATGTGCTTTTTTTAACAATTATAAATTTGGCACTAAGGCTGACTCATAAATATACATGAAAAAAAAAAAAACTTTAATTCTGGTAAATAACAAAATCGATTATTATTTTAAACCTCCAAGGAAATCTTTATTCTTTATTGTACACACAGCTAATACAATACGAAATAAATACATTATAAATAAACTAAGGATATAAATTGATTTAATCAAATTCATTTAATCATCATCAAATCGTTTATCAAAAGTGCCAAAATTATAATTCACAAATAATGGATGAATTGAATTAAATCAATTAAATACTCACTTTTAAAATTTTGCCGCCCTAAAAAATTTGCCGCCCTGGGCACTTGCCCCGACTGCCCCTAGTGTAAATTCACCACTGCCTATGCCGGTTTTGAACTCTCGCATGCAGCTATCAATTTTTCATACTTGCGTAACAAATAACAAATGTACACGACAGATTTAGACGGGCATCATGTAACAAAAATCAAACACGCAAAAGAACTAGTTTGCGTAATTATTAGAGCGTTATATAAGTCTCATATCTATTGTGATGCAGCTTTCCCATTCCTTAGGCTTTAAAGACTTCTTCGCCGTTGAAATAGCCAAATTGTGGTAGGTACCTGAATACAGATGTTTGCAATAAGTCTTATTTTAATAGCAGATTTAAAAGTAATATTTTGTGTTGATTAATTTATAAACCATAGAATAAAGACTAGTATAATATAATCCAGTTAGAAATTGCAGTTAGATTTATAATTTACTCTGATATAAAACATATGTAGAAAATTGGGAATAAAATTTAAACTGTCAAAAGAGATGTTTCATTGTCCAACAGACTAGCATAACTCATGAGAATAAAAAATGAGTTACGTAAAAACTTGTACTTTTCTCTTTAAATTGTAACTATCAAAATGATAAATACGTTTGAAACGTGAGTAGGAGCTTTAAGTAGAGGGTCGGCTTTAAGAGATTAGGCATTCTCAGCTAGCAGCGTACGTGATGATATAATTTTGAATAACTTTAGTCAACAATCTCTGTATATTCACTTTGATAATTTCACCGGGATAAATGATAGTTAAGATTAAGTTTACAATTGTTATCTAGTTCTAGCTATGGCTTTAGGAGTTAGTGAGACATAATGTTTGAACATTTTATTCTTTGTGAGTGTTGTCTTCTCTTGACAAACATCAAACATACAATCTGTTATACAGTGACAAAAAAAGTTAAGTTAAATGAAGCTATCAAAAAACGCATATGCTACCTAGGTTTTGTTACCAATTACATTATTAGCTTAACAATAGTACATTTAATTTTTCACCATTTTCGTTTTTGTTTAATGACATTTAAATTGGACGTCAAGCGCTCTATATCTGAACAATCGTAATACACATCCAGCGTTGCTGACTTGAATAAAAGTGGCTAATAAATCAGCGTGCTATCCCAACGCTCATTGGAATGCTCTGCTACGCGCGGTATCTACACGAGGGAGTGTAATTTCGTCTTCTACGGATTTTAAGGTCCGTTTCTGAGCAAAACAAATAGAGGGTAGTTTTGAGCATGCGTCGAGTTATCGCACGCAAGCGCCGCGTCGCGCTCGCGGCAGTCGTGCGCCGTTCGCCGCCGCGGTAACACACCGCGCTTCTGTCTTCTACCGCGTTAAATCCACGCGCTAAATGGCGCCCAACATGGGATATCACCTTTCCTGGTAAGTCGTTACATAATTTAAAAATTACGCTAAAATTCGTTAAGTGCGAAGCCTCGTTGAAATTTAAGACGAGAACTGCTTAAGTCTGAGGGCGTGGCTTGAACCGATAGGAGGGGGACTGAGTCGGCGTGCTGATACCTCCTGATAACGCTGCAGCCTACTGTCAACAAAACCTTGTATGGCATTTAGACTTTTACATACTTCTCTAAGTTCCAGTCGTCGGCAGTCAGAGGTTCATATTGATTTTCAAATCGCATACTTGAAGACAATTAAATGAATTGTGTCGGATTCTTTTTATTCAGAGGTGGTTGCTCACAATGAAAAAATGGCTTGAATCTTTTCTAAGTTAGCTATTCCATGCCCACTATTTGTTTTAAATTCAATTAGTAGCTGTATTGCACAAAAACATGCTAAAAATTTGTATTTGTAATTCAAAATGGAACATGAACATGTAATAATGAATATAATGATTAATTCGATTTTACTGTTTGGCGTATTTAAGTAAATTTTTTTTCTACCTTATTTTATTATATATTGCATTTTTATGCTATATTTTATCTAAGCTATCAGTGCCTATCAGCCATTGAAAAACTAGACTTATTTTTTTTAAGAATACTCGATTTTTGCTAAGTCACTACGTAGTCGTCTCATAGTCTGAAGCAATGGGAACAATATTGGTTTTGAGAATTGAAGTTTATTCGTAAAAAGGATGAGAGAGATTGCAGTATGAGTGTTATATTTGTAAATTTACTACCGATACTTCTTCACTACTGATGCTATCTGTCTGTATGGAAGTTTCCCCGATTATAAAGCACCGTTATAAAGCAACATAGAGATTGTAATTTTGTAATTTTCAGCAATAAGAACAACGGTAGGTGTGTTTGTGGCGGCACTTCCGAAAAAATATCATTGTTTGAATTAAATGTTAGGCCGGATTAGTCACAATAGCGGAGGTTAAGCAACTGCTATTCTCCGAGAAATTCTTATGCTTCTCTACCACCTGGGAAGCAGTAATATCGCTACGTATCTTCCAATGTAACTCTGAAATTCTTAAAAATCGAATTGCTGTAACAATAAGTATGTTGGTATATAAGTGATATAATAGTTTTAAGTTTAATGTATATATAATATTTATTGTATAAATGTAAATTTTTCTTCATTATTTAATAATAAATCTAAACTACTATATAAATCTACAGTGGTTTTTACAGATGATCCGTTATAACTACTGAACCATGTATCCGATTGACTTGAAACTTGGTATCCATGTAGAAAATACATGTACTTAATGGATATGCTAATATGTATATGAGTGTTGGACTCCCTAATAATAATGACAATAAATAATAATGTTAATTTTAAATGCACAGCGAAGCGGGCGAGTACAAAATAAATGTACCTGATTTATCCCTCAGAGAAGCTTCGAGCATGGCTCTTTTCATGACTCGTTGAGCGACCTTGAGCTGACGGAATAGCAGCACTGTGAATGTCCACGTCTTGGCTCTCTAAGTCATGAGCCATATGACGCACTGGTTGAAAGCTCTTGTTATCAGGCACTGTCGGATGGGTGGCGAAGAGATTCCACTTAGTTTGTTAAATTCTGCCCAGCACAGCTCCTTCTCTTAGATTCGCTCTCCAAGTTGTTTTTACCCACCTCCAATGACAGCGCGAGGTATAAATATATAATATATTCTTGAACAATATCAAGCGGGCAGCCTTTAATGACGACCAGAGCCGGACTAATATAACCATTGAACATAACTTTAGTTTTATATAAGCCGTCCGGCATCTCGGTAAGCATCGGCACGAGGACTACATCATCTGAAAACTCCAAGTGTGAGATGTACTATAATTTAACTTACTATAACAGATAACTTGGACAAAGTGATTGATGGGCAAAGTAGAAGGAAAGAGACCCTGCGGCCGATTACTTAGCCGTTGGGTGATCAAATAGCCGCCCTAACTGGGCTGCCAGTCGCAACCGCCATTCGAGAAGCTGAGGACCGGACGAGGTGGAAACAGCTCACGAGACAGGCCACGGTCATGTTTCAGGGACACGACCTTCGGTAATGAAGAAAGCGACGAAGATGATGCCGTATTTTTTCCAAGATGGAGAAATTTTACATTTTAAGCCTACGAAGAAACAGTACAATTAAAATTAAAAATTTACCATCTAAATTACTCTAAATTGAAGATGTTTTTTATTTTTTATTGCTTAAATGGGTAGATGAGCTCACAGCCTACCTGATATTAAGTGGTTACTGGAGCCCACAGAGATCTACAACGTAAATGCGCCACCCACCTTGAGATATAAGTTCTAAGGTCTCAGTACAGTTACAACGGCTGCCCCACCCTTCAAACCGAAACGCATTACTGCTTCACGGCAGAAATAGGCATGGTGGTGTGCGGACTCACAAGAGGTCCTACCACCAGTAATTACGCAAATTATAATTTTGCGGGTTTGATTTTTATTACACGATGTTATTCCTTCACCGCGGAAGTCAATCGTGAACATTTGTTGAGTACTAGGGTAGATTCTTGAATACCAAACAACATGTGGATTTTGGAGCTGCTCAAGGTAATTGATCATATATCCTTTGTTAAAGCGACGATTGCTATTTTCGTGACAAACGTTAATGTGTGAGATGTGAGATAAGGTTACGTTCTCTCTTGATGATGGCCTCACAACTAAAAGGTATCAGGTGTGCCAGCGAGTCACGGAATTGCTTTTTCGGAGTACAAGCGTTGTGACGGATCTTGGGGGAAAATACTTGCTATCGATTAATACGACATTTTCTTCCGTATGACCGTGTATTTAACACATTTACAATATTAACTTATGTAAAACTAAAAAACTACAACCGGTTCGCTTCGCATATTATTTGACAAGTGTTTTTTCTTAAGACCGTGTTGCCAGACTCATTGCACAAAAGTTACGTTCCGTGACAAGCGTCTTAACTAATGCATACTGCGTTTTCAGTTGTTCAGAAATATCTATGCATCAGTAGCGATTGTGGGAGACTTTGTTTTGTCATTAAATTAATAAAAAAAGCCTGGAATCTAATATTTTTGCACCATTTATCGAGTATTTTTGATTAATCAATTGTATTACATAAAAATTGTCAAATAACACATATTAATCTCTCTAATCTCAAAATGTGGATCATTAGATAGGTTTTTTTTTTAATATTTTATTGTCTAGATGGGCGAATGACCTTGTGACCGATCTAGTGTAAAATTACAGGAACCTATAAAGATTGTAGAAATACATGTGTATCGATTGAATTTGTTGACTTCTATGAATTTGCTTTCTGGCGGTGTGCAGGGCATTTTGAACTGTGGAAACAAGAACACCGCCAGAGACAAAGACAAACGGAGAAAGATCGTGCGAGAGAAGGTGATACAGGAAGAATGGTCACGACCCTCAGCATTGAGGAATACGACGCAAGGGGGAGCAAGAATTTACTTTTGCCGCTATGAGTAAAAGAAACAACAGCAGGTCTCTCTTTATAACGTTGGTGTACGACGAAAGTTAAACGTAAAACAGGCAGTAATGAAAAAATAAAAAATAGTTTAAAATACTAACAATATACTCCAAATAAATAATAGTTCATAGAAAATCTAACTAAAAAATATACTTTTTTTTTAATAAATTTGAATTAAAAATAGTGTAAGAAAAAATGATATTATTGTAAAAAGGCGTGGTGTGCTTTTCAGAATATTATCAACATAACCCTTCTACTCATATCTGTTCATAAAATATTTATAACTACTGATACCAGGCATGCCCCCACGGTTTTTTTTACAATAAAATCATTTTTTTTGCACTATTTTTAATTCAAATGATTAAAAATTTATTTTGTATTTTTAGTTGGATTTTTTATAAAAGCGTATTTTGTAATTTTTTTAAACTATAATTTTTTTTCATTTTTTAGTTCAATTTCAATTTTTTCTAATTTTTTTTTCATTGTTTTTAGTATTGGATTTTCATCGGTCCTTAATAAGTATACCAAATTTCGAGTTAATCCGACGTTTTGAAGGGGGTCAAAATCATGTTCAAAGATTCCGTTACATACTAACATACATACGTCTGAAGCTAATAAAAACGTATTAAAAAGAACCATTTTATCACTGAAAACAGAAAACATATATACAGCAATTTGGTGATGTTATCAAAGAAAGGTCTCGCGAGATCGGACAGGGTTATCCCGTTTCTATTTATATGATAATCGACGGTCGGAACCGGGCGGCGTACTTTGTTCCGTATGTATTAAATGGACAGGCGAATGTCGAAGAAAAGCTATCGGGAATGTTAGGAATTCCGAGATTTATGTCCAACGATTGCATTTCATTTACAGCGCGGGTTCTCCAGACATTTTCGCTTTTCCTGTATCGAATTTCATCTTTGTTTTATCTTCGTATTTGATTTCTGAATGTAGACATTCTCATTTTTTTGTTAACATAAATAATAGTTTAAAAAATACTAATAAAATAAGCTTTTATAGAAAATCCAACTAAAAAATAGAAAATAAATTTTAATAAATTTGAGTTAAAAATAGTGTGGGATAAAATTATTTTATTGTAAAAAAGCGTATGATGAATATTATCTAAGAACAGAAAAGGCTCTTTCATTTGAACGTCAATACGAAAATCCCATTTACTTTAATTGATATAAAAATTATTGAAAATTATATTTTGGCGAAGGAACCTTGACACAGTATCTGCTGTATAATAGCTGGAGACTTACTATATTATTTTCAATTCACTATATTAGTACAGATCTTGTTTAGTTGAATATGGCGGATACTGGTGGTAGGACCTCTTGTGAGTCCGCGCTAGTAGGTATCACCACCCTGCCTATTTCAGCCGTGAAGCAGTAATGCGTTTCGGTTTGAAGAGTGGGGCAGCCGTTGTAACTATACTGAGACCTTAGAACTTATCTCAAAGTGGGTGGCGCATTTACGTTGTAGATGTAACCACTTAACACCAGGTGGGCTGTG